AATGTAGGAACAAAGGGAAATTCAATTTAGTTTCTCATTCGTAGTCGCAATTTAGTCGGATGCTCGGGAAATTGATTGTGTAAACTTTCATATTTGCAGGGCGAAAAAAAAAACACGAATGGAGAACGGAATTGGTTTCTTTTGTTCGTGAAGTTTGAGTAACGCAAGAAAAATAAGTAGCAGGTGTGAACATTCGTTCTGTCAATTTCTGGAGCGTTCTTTTTTTTCATTTTCGTTAGAGTTGCAATTTTATGACATTTCATTCCATATGCTGGCTGCTTTTTTTTTCGTCTTCCATTCTTCCCCAAAAACAATTCAATCCCCTTTTTGCATAAACTGCGATTGTGATTCAACTTGACTCCTCCACACATACACTTTCTCTCTTTCACCATATGTGCCACACTAAACACTGAAGGAGAAGACAGCCGAAGAACGTACACACAAAAAAAAAACAACACCATCAACAGCATACGAACGATCCAGAGATGTTTCGCACACGATTCTTGCTTGTTCGTTTATCACACCATGCTCCATCGTTCACTTCTTTCACATCCATCCATCTCATTTGCATTATACGTACATAAAATCACGGCATACAATGGCTAAAAGTGGATGCGTTCTACGATTTCGTTTGCTGAATGCTTCTATTGTAAAATCGATAACGTTTTCTCATTTCGCACTTATCACATTGAAGATTGCATGAATTTATATATATATATAGCGCTCGTACGCGTTTGCTAGTTTTCTTGTCTTGCTTCGGTGTGTCTGCATATTTTATCCAGCAATCTAATAGCATTCTAGTCTAGTGAAAAGCGAAAATGTATTGGATTCGAGGAAAATACAATAAAATAAACAAAATGCAGAAGCTGCCTCGGATGCAATTGTTTTTGTCGTTACTGCTTTTGTCTTCTTTTTTTTCTCTCTCATCTGGTTCGCTTTTTGCGACGACAGAAATGGGTGACAAAAGCGGCTCGAGAATACCAGAACAGTCATAAAATAGAAGCGACAAGATATATTCTCCATGATAAACACATTATTCGGTCGGAAGCGAGGATTCGGCATATGCTAAATCACAGCACACCGCTCCATGTGCACACCATCCACCGGCAGTCGATAACGCGCTCAACTGTTTAGCATATAAATGTTAGCATTTATACGACGAGCATTTTTTTTGAAGTAAATTTACGCAGTACGCATTTGGCTGGCAGTGAAGTACTCAATTTTTCGATTGCATCATTTGAATTTTAATGTGACCGCAACTTCGATCGCTTTGAATCTTCCACGCCATGGCTCCCTTGCACATCGCATTCGATACACTTTAACGACTTGCGAAAGAAAAAAAAAACAATGAAAATACTAACTCGTTTTCGATCGACTTCCTCTTCGCAGAATCCGCCGCTAAATCATTTCTCCTCGAATTTTCCTAGATGCTACGGCTTGCATTTAAATTCCATCATCTGTCGGATGTGTCATACATGCTTCAAATTCACTTGTGCCTCATTATATGTATCGAGGGATGAATTGGTTTTTGCTGCAATATTTTAACTTTTTTCAAGCAGATATTTTGAACGCGTGATATTGTCTAGTTTTTCAAAGCGAACAAGTACTTGAAATTATCAACGTAATCGTCTGGCACCTGTTATGCTAATGCACTAGAATGACAATTACATATCTATTCGTGAGACGTAAAAGAACGTATGTTTTTTTCTCGATTTATATTTTTGAAAAGGAAAGTATGTTTTCTGTTGATTCTATCTGCGTTAAAAGAAAGTATGTTGTAGTACCGTCTAGCCTCCGCGGTCTTCACGGTTTTCGCGCAACTGATAAGAGATATCAACATGGTGTCTTCGACAAAGTTGTAGTACTCGAGGTCTCCTATAGTATTGCTGAAGACAGGTAACTCTTATCTCTTATCAGTTGCGCGCAAATTGCGCTCATGAAAAAGCAAATTTTATATAGAACTTTTTTTTTCTTATCATTATTCGCGCTTTTCGCGGAACTGTTAAGAGATAAGAGATAACTGTCTTCAGCAATGTTATAGGAGAACTTTGCCCAAGACACCATGTTGTTATCTCTTATCAGTTCCGCGAAAACCGTGAAAAACCGCGAGGACCCACCAAAAATGAACATACATTCTTTTAACCATTTTTAGTTGCAATGAAACATACTTCTCTTTATTGCTACGAAGTTGGACAAACTTGCGTTCTTTTACGTCTCACTAATAGATATGAGAGTCATAAAATTCAGAAGAATTTCAGACAGTTTCGTAAATTAAATTGATGGGGGCTTTTTGACTTGTTGAGTTGCTAGCACATTGATCATTATCGGTGTCACAATAATTATTGTTCGTATAGGTCGATTATTTCTATACGGATTTATCTGGACATTATATTTGTATTATTAATAACAGTGGGTAAAAATATTGTCTCGTTCACCATCTATATTGCCAATAATTTGCAAATAATGCACAAATATATTTGTTGTCGTACTGATTCGCTAGATACACTGATACGGCAATAACCACGGTCATCGATAGCGTATTGTAATAGCGTCTAACACTATTCGCTTCGCTCCGCTCTGCGTTCTTGAGATTTCAGTTATTTATTCTTTTATTCTACTTTGTTGCTTCACAACAAACTACTTTTTTTGCGCACTACATGAAATGTATTTCATCTAAGTAATTTTGCAGTAATATATCATTAAAAGGCGTTGAATAATATTATGGATTAAAAACATAATACGAAAAATATATATTTGCAACAAAGTTGATACAGAAAAAAGATTTTCTCAGTTATCTCAAAAATGAATTGCAAGATCTTGGTTTGATTTCTTTTTTGAAAGATACTGCCACTGTTTTAAATTAAATAAATAATATGACCATAGAATCTAAATTAACTTTCATCATGCTCAAGACTCGGAGAATACTATACAAAAGAAGGAAAAAGTAATGTAAATTTTAAACAACATTTGATAATAAAAATTTGATTAGCGTTTCGAGATACTATGCACTTGTTTGTCGTTACTGCCACTAGTTTGAATTGAATACAAAATATGAGCATAAAATTGAAAACCACTCTAATTGTGTTCATGGCTCGAAAAAGTATTAGAAAAAAAAAACGCAGATTAGTAGCTCTACATTTCATGTAGTGCTAAAAAATCCATTCTGCTACAGTAAGTAGTTGAATTGGAGTCCAAACTATCGATTTTATGCAGCAGTTTGTCGATTTGGCCTCGTAGAGGTGGAATGCGGACGCAAAATTCACTTGGAAGTGACGATATACGGCAATCTTAGAAGGAAAAAAAAATTAGAATAATTATGTCGGGAAATCTGTAAAGCAAGCAGTGCGTTATTTTATCGTACTAGTATGGATATCTATAGTACAAAAACTATATTTCTGTTCTTATTTCGGTTCTCCTTCTGGCGCCTAGATCAATTCAATGGCATTCATTGTTCTTCAGCCTAAGATATTTGAGCGAAGAATTGAAATACTAGTAGTAATATAATCAAACTGAGCGAATTTTTCAGATATTATCTTTGAAAACAACACATTTTTGCTGTTTGTACAACTTGTCAAAATTTCTTTATAGCAGTAATCGATTACAAATCGCAATCCAACTTGATCGTCCACATGTCAAACAAGCTCCAATAATACAGTGAGACGTGTAAATAAATCAGAAAATGTGATCGATTGCACGCAAAGTAAATGACGGAGAGTTTATGATTTTCTAATAACACGATGAAATCGAGACAAATGTTAAATGCTTCCGTTGTTTACTTGTTTGAATGTCACGGTAATGCTGCAAACCGAAATAGAAATGATTATTGACGCTGCAGCGTCTAATGTAAATATGACGTTGGTGCTTTCAACAAGGTGTGGAGATCAATCGGATTTCTGGCTAAAATTAGAAGTAAATTACCGTCTAAAATTCAAGTGAAAGAAAAGTCTCTGTCTGAACATTCCCACTCTCTCCGGCTGTGTGTGTGTGTTCCGAAAAGGAGTGAAAGAAAGAATAATGGAATATACGATTTAAGACTGTTTTGTGTCTGACATTCAGTGGATTTGTGTACAGTCTATTTTTCACTCGAAACATGTAATATACAAGTGATTTTTCTGACGAAAAAAAAGTAAAGAAAAGAAAACAATCTCCTAAACATTCGAGCGAAGAACCGTTTTGTAAACAGAAGAGAGAAAAAAAAAACCTCAGCTTATACTAAAAGTGTTTATAAATAATGATGACTGGGAGTTGTAATCGTAATTCATGGTGTAGAAGTTCAACGGTAGAAGCGGCATCAAAATGTTCGCATGAAGGGCAATCGAGTTGAGTCACTTCGGCCAAGAACATTAGATTCATAAAAGTCCCATTCACTCAACGGTAGCGGATTCGTCTTTTTTGTTGCCGTTTTTTTTCTTCTTCTCTTCTACGCTGTTGCTTCTGTTGCTGTTCTGGCGGTCTTTTTCTTTTTTGATAAACATAACGCACTCTTTAAACACATATCAGCAGCAGCACATTTGTTTAACGTATACAGAAGAAGAAAAAAAAACGCGAGCAAAATGCTTTAGTCTATGTTTGTTGCGCGCGCAAAAATGTACACAAATCGAACGGCAAGACATTGAGCATTCTTAAAGGCTCAGCAGCCGAAGCAAGCAGGAAGATATGTGAAATAGCGCACTGAGAAGAAAATCAATGTATAAATAAGAGGCGACGAACAAACGCAAATAGACTCGAAACGAGTAAAGATTTTTGTTTTGTTTCACAAAAGAAACTACGAAAAAAGCACACACACACTCAAAACAGCAGTGCAACAACAAAACATATCCTGATCTAGCTAAAAAAAAAAATCACGCGTATTCTCTTTTCAAACTCTTTTCGTCTTGTACTCGTTGGTTTTGCCACTGCGTATGCTTGATCGCAAGCACCAATCGACCGACCGTCAGACGCACTGCACCGAACATGCTGCAAGCCTATGGCCGTGCTCTCGATCACATTTTCTCGCATTCAGTCTTCAGTGAGTTGTACTTGGTGCCGGTTGCGTTTGCGCATTCGTATTGATTTAACGTTGTTTGGATTTGCATCGGTTCTCGGTAGTGTACGGAATATGTGTCCTTTTTTAATCGTGACCGATCGATTTCGCTTCAAGCAAACTAAATTTATTCTGACAGTGGTTATAAAGTTGTTTATTTAAGGAAGTGGCGATAATGCGATAACTTGCGAAGAGAAACAGAAATGTGTTGCAAAATCATGTGAGAATGGCCCATTTTTTGGACGTATATCCTAGTGAATTCGAAGTGAATTCAAAGTGATTGTCAGTGCAAAAGTGAAAACACCTTGAATAGTGATAGAAATTAAGGAATTTTTTTTTCATTTTGAAAATATTATGAAAATAGCGTCGAAAAATTTTGTGTGAAAATAAAATGCATGGCTTGAGCGAGAAGATGTATTGGAAGTATTTTTTTGTGTTTGTGTGCCTGTTCGTTGGTCATTATTGTGAAAATTCGTGGGATAATGATGAAGTTGAAAATCAGCAGGTTGAAAGCCGTAGACTGAATGGCCATTATTATCGGCATAGTTTACGAAATGATGTTGAAACATCAAACCATCATCAACTTCGTGTGTTATCCGATGAGCCATCGAATGGTGAGTCGGTGCCTTTTGGTGCGGTCGATCGAAAAAATGTGCGTCGTACAAAACTTAGACGTCGTAAAATGGGTAGCAGCTATAAAAAAACGAACACATTTCGCCGGGGTCAACGTAACCGTCATAACAAAAATGGTAACTCATTCAGTCAAGACAACAAATCAATTTTTTTTTCTCTTTGCACTCTTTGCTCATTACACAATCAAAGGCAATAACGAACCGTTTTAATCTGCGCGAAATGAGTTTTTGTCCTTCTCTTTAACATTGTGTGTTGCTGTTTGTGACGATGACTAAGGAGACGGCAAAATCCCAATGCATCCAATGATTTGGATGTGCTGTGTGTGTGTTTGTGTTTAATTTCGCATGGGAGAAAATAAACTGAATTGTCGACAATATATAGTATGAGCGTGTGGAGCCTCGCAATTATGCGTTTTTCGTTCGGCATGTGCATTGTGCATTGGCCATATACGCGCGCGCACTATATATGTTTGCGTTGCACTTTCAGTGGTGGTACAAATTAAGAAAAGCGTATGTTATGTGTGCATATTACGTGTGAGTACTATGCGATTGCATGTATCTTATATGGGCACACGAGCAGACCAAGAACAGAGCAATAAGAAAGTACAAGTTCATCATGCCGGCTCCATAATCATAAATTCTTGGAACGTAGAAAAACCGAGTTGATTGTGAATTTGTTGTGCCAACCGAGAGTCGATTTTCCTCATTTAAGGCAATTTCTCTCTTTCTCTCGCTATCGCTCGCTCGCCTGCTCTGACTTTGTGCACTTTTGCTTCTGCAATCGGACACAGCCTCGTCTAATCGCACTGTTTTGCTGCATGTAATAAATAAATTGCATAGAAAATCTCAGCCGATTTTAGTCGAGACGTTTGCGTTTATGATTCTACACAATAAACATTCAAAGCACTAATTTTGTGTTTCGGCAAAATGTGTGCACCTTCTCTGTGTTCCATTTTATCTATCGATTCAATGCAATGCTTGCATCCATTGCAAGAGCAAGCAAGCGAGCGCCTTCAAATGCAACCAGCCGGCCGACCAGCCAGCCATACAGTTCGCTCGCTTGAACTTTCTGTGTGCACGCTGCACGATCCAGTTTCAATTAAGAACATTTCTTGTTTGACTTTTCCATTTTTGTATTTTATCAAGATTGCTCTTTGCAAGTAAATATTTACATATTAGATAGAAAAACAGTTGTTTGAGCTCGACAGAGAAAGAGAGAGAGAGAGAACCAGTTCACAAGAACTAAAAGCAAACAAAGAGCAAAACACCGTTTCACAGAGTCAAAACAACTGAACTCGATAAATGATTTAGAGACAATTCATTTTTACATATTTCTCGCATTTGCAAAGAGATGCAGAACAACCCGAAAAAACAACAACAAAAACCACTACGCAAAGAGAGAGAGAGAGAGAGAGAGAGAGAGAGAGAGAGAGAGAAGAATGAAAATTACATGCCCCGAACATTTCACAGTGTGTGCATTAACTATTGTTTGGATTGGTTTGCAGTTGCATTGTTTCTGAATGGTTTGCCTTCGCATAACACACATGGGCAAAAATGCACTCAAAAAATACCAAAAGGTAGAGAAGATGAAGTGTGTGTATGTTTGAAAGCCATAAAAGTGCTGTTAAAAAAGGTAGTGGCAATATGTTTTCGTTCCTTCTGTCCTTCTCTATTTCTCTTAACACCAATTACGGTGCGATAAGACATCAAACGTTCAAACAAAAAAAAAGTGTGTCAAAAACAGGAGATACAACATTCTTCCCATGTCTTTTTCTTCTTCTCTCTCTCTCTCTCACTCTTTCTTTGCCGTTCTATGTCGAAACATGGGAAAATTTCATTTGAAACTTTATTTTGTCGTCTAACAACGAGAATGCACTAGAGATGCGCAAAACTATCAAATTTTTCACAATTAGTTGAGTCTCTTCTAAATAGTTTGATCCCTTCTTCATACAAAGCGCTTGATAACGAAAGGAGAACAAAACAACTATGGATTGGTTGTCGAGGTAATCGAGTTAGACGCAAACCTGTAACGAAAGTGGCGGTGTGCATCTCAAATTTCATTGAAACTTCGGGCAATATTGAATAAACTGCGCAGCGAGAGTGAAAGAAAGAGAGAGAGAGAAAGAAGCGATCACCACCGAGCTGCATCACACAGTCAAGTCGACAGTTCGAGGCTCACTTCATCTTACTCTCTCAATTTTTGTTTTGCGTTCGTTATTCGTTTTTTTTTTGTCGATGAGTTTTTTACGCTCATCTTTTTTTCCTGTGTTACACCGAACGTATTCGGTCACTCTTATTATTTTTATTTTTTTTTCTGTTTGAGGCAATAAAAATTTCTATAGAATATCTTGTTCGGACCGATATAAAAGTGACGAGCTCAGTGGGTTTTCGTTGAAATTCTATAGACATACATGATCCTCTCATTGAGAGAGTCTGTGCCACACAAACCGAAAATGAGTCTTTATCCTCGTTGCGAACAAAAAAAAAAACACACATTTTCCAAGAGTGGGAGAGAGAGAGAGAGAGAGAGATCGAAGCATGAGATGCGTTCACGTGAACATGCAGTTTAAAGCAAACCGGTAATATTATAACAATAAATTGAACAACAAAAAGAAGCGCCAACCTTTTAGAACGAGACGTATGTCTAATTGATATTTATTACAATTATTCCTATCGAATTCGACATCTAACGACTTTTTGTGTACATTGGCGCATCGGATCGAATCTTCGGCACGAAATAGATGTTTACTATTTTATCGATTTTTCTCTGCCTCCGGAAATCGTTGAATGTTATAGGGATTCAGTATCAACGGAGCAACGTTCACGTGGAATTTCTTCAAATTTTAAAAGAGTTATTTGAAACGATCCAGAAACAGGATTTCGTTTCTTCTTTTCTCACTCTTTAAAATTGTCTTGTTTACATCGCATTCTATGGCATTTGATTTGCTCGTGTTCAATAAAATCGTGTGTTCATAGAGTGTTGCAGGATTGTTCATGCTTCCCGTAGATATTGAAGTTATAATTATAGAACACAAGGTGTTCATGTTGCATACAATCGCCAATTCATATTTATTGAATGTTCATCGTGCAACGAGGCAGAAGATTCTTCGAAGCCCTTTGGCCTCTGGCCATCAAACGAATTCCTTCCAAAGTTGTGATCAATTCAAGTGCGGTGTTCACCGCAATATTTGCGGCCAAGTGTGTTCGCCTCGGCGTGGCGGCACTCAAGATTTATTTTAATTGCGTTAAATTACATGATTGCGTGTGAAATTCGATTATTTAGTCAGCTTCAATCCATCATCAAATTTTCGTTTCACAGTAGTTTGTTCATAGCCACATCGTTCGTATGGTGGAAAAAAATAAGGCGCAAAATAAGTTATTTTTCATCCTCTTTTTGAAGTGCTAATGCGGCATATCGAAAATAACAAAAAGAATCAGAAGATGCCAATCAATTTAAAAAAAAAATGAAGTCAATTTGCATATCTGTAACATTCGGCCCGTTGATCTATAGCCACTCAAAACATTGAGACGTAACATTTCAAAGCGGAACAGTAAACGAGGCAAATGTAATGTTCTGTCGTGTTATTTTCTCTTTCGATACAGAGAAAACAAAAAAAAAAGAAGAAAATTCTCAGCGCTACATTCTCGAAAGCTGCAACAGAATTTTGATAAGATGTAAAACTTGAAACGGATTCAGTAAGTGTTGCACCAATGAATAATTTGTATCTTCATGTTTTCTTATTGCCAATTATCAATTCAACTTAAATAAGTTGAGAAGTGGAAGTTGGCATTGCGTTGAACAGCTTTTAAATAGTGATTTGTTAGCGCCGAGGTTACAAACACTCAATGCTCTTATCGACAATACAATTTACGGATTCCATTACATTCGACTCTGTAAATGTAAGACGCTTCATTTAGGAATCACAATTATGCTCATTTCCCGCATCTCTTTACCGTCTGTAATTTTGCTACGACTATCGTGTACTACTTGATCGCAGATTGCGATTCAATTATGCAGACATTTCAAGCAATTTACTTTAATCACAGGCATTTGCCATCGTTGTTTCTGTCTCTCTACCTCTTGCTCCTTCTCTTTGGCTCTTTATTTTACTAGTTTTATCTAAAATGAGAAAAATGTGAACGAAAAAAAGAAACCGTTCACGACTAACTATCTATTGAAATAAAGAAGGGATTCAATTAATTTTTACAGGATTTCAAGTAGTGTCCGACGCGGATTACACATCCGATGCTGATAATAATAAAGACGATGAGGAGACGAACGAGGCTGGCCTCTGGCCACCAGTCGTGAACGTTGCACCGAGAGCTATTCTACATGCGAATGCAACCTGTGGTCAAAGCCATCGTGAGGAATTTTGTCACACAATCGATGCACATCCCCAGCGGCAACGTAAGCCAAAATGCAGCGTTTGTGATTCGCATGACGCTGATCGACAACACCCAATTGACTATGTTATTGATGGATCACAGAAATGGTGGCAAAGTCCGACTTTAAATAGCGGTGCAGAAAATGAATATATTACTATTACGATGGACTTAAAACAGGTTTGTAGGGATCAGATTTTACATAGATAAATTGGATTGAATGCCAAAGCCCCGATTAACTGTATACCGTGTTACACGGGTGACGGTGACGGCGACAGCAGCAGCAGCGGAAGGTGAAAATAAAATAAATGACTGCATCGAAAAACAATCGAAAAAAAACAGCGTAGAATAGTCAGACAGAGAAAACCGAAAGACAATCTCTGCTACACACCGACTCTCGACACACCGCATCGAAATCATAACGATTTCAGGTTCTCTATTTCACCGAATGCTGCTGCTGCTGCTGCTCGATGTCAATGTGCAGTATCTGTGCGTATTTTAATGTTCAATCCGTTCGCCGGTTGCTGTTTATTTTTTCTCTCTGTCTTCATTCTGCCCATTTCGCTGATGTTATTTTCGTCTCCGTTTTTCGTTGCTGCTTCGCCATTTGATTTGCAAACGTAACATATATCTGAGAATTTGCATGTGTGTTTTTAGTAATTTGAATTTTTGCAGAGATTTCTATAAGGAATGGAGAACGGGCAGAAAAAAAAATTGCTTTCCGACGACCAGATGTTAGACTTCGCTTACTCATTTTCACAATTTCCTTTTACACCTCTTCTATCTTTCTCTACCGTGGACGAATTAAGGCACGCGCTTGCCATATTAAAAAAATATCAAATTGCGTGATTTCGAAATGTACGTTCATTCGTTTTTTTCATATAAACTCTCTCGATCCAGCTGAAATGGCCTATCGCAAATAAAATTACTCGTCACACACACAAGCACAGGCACAGCGGAATACGAAAAAAAGAACATCTGTAATGTTAAGTGTAGTGAAGCAATTGATTGAACTACTACTGAATGGGATTCATCATTAAAATTATCAGTTGTCGCATTGAATCACTCCCATAACTACTCTCTTGCTGATAGCATTTTAGTCGTTCACGATTGCATGAACATCAATTGCTTTTAAAATGAAAAAGGGTTTTCTCAACATGAATGCAAATGTAAGGTTTTGTTTTTTTTTTTTTCTCATTCATATGCAAACGGAAGTCGAAATACTTATGAACAATCATATGTCACTCATTTTATGCCGCTTTCATTCTATTCGAAATGCTTTTGTGCGCACAAGAAATGATTATTTCTTACACAAAGGACGCAAAATAAGTACCCCGTTGCTTTCAGATTTCAATAAATATTAAGACAGCCCAAATGATCATTTCGTCTGTTGACCGACGACTGAGGATCATGTGGCTCTGTATGTTTTCGGATTACCAAACGTTTTTAAGCGAATTTATTTTGAAATTGTTCAGATTAAATCTACAACCTCCACGTCGATATTCGTGAAATTGGAATTCTCGAATTCGAATCTCATTTCCAAAAAAACTGATCACTGTTAAATTTATTCGGATGAAGAGAAGATTGTGCGCATTGATATCGTAAGTCGTTGCATAAAAAGAAACACATTTCAAATGTCCATACAATGTTTATAAATACTAATTGCAAAATTTTACGGCTCTTGATCATTCATGGCACATAAGAGAGTAGGCATTCGGTCGTAAAATAAGTTTTGAATTGATTGCGCTGGTAATATTCCGACGTTTTAAATGCTTTCCTTCTGTATTGGACAGCGTGGCGATCTTGCAAACATTCGTATGGAATGGATGCCGGCCACCGGTACGACGTTTGAAATAAAGTCCCAGAGAAAATTTCCCAGAAATTACTACATATATTTTTAGAACTCAAATGTGCCCATTGAAGAAGTGATAACGCCAAATGCAAATGACACTGAACATACATACACTCGGTTTATACCTTCATAATATTTATGGTCATTGGCATATTTGTATTGAAGTAGGCAGTTTTTCAAGTAATTTAGACAAAAAAAAAACGCGAACATTATATATTCAAAATAGGCACAAATGGATCGCCTCGGATACGTTGCTATTCTCCGTTTGCGAGAGAGAAGAAAAGGCCATAAAAAAGGGAAATATTTCCAATGGACATTTATGAAAAACATATTTCTGCCAATTCGACATATTATTGCTAACCAGTAACCACATGCCAATAGCAACAATATGTTCTTGTTCGTTTTTTTTGTTGTTGTCGAATCGGGCCGTGAAAACATTTGTCGCATTCCGTCGAGCAGTTTTTTTGCTCTTTGGTTCACAATCTTCGTGCAATTGATATTATTGTTCGGTTTTTTCCCTCGCCATAATTCACATTTTGCCACATGTCATTTTTCATGGCAATCAGAACAATTCGAATGAAGATATCAGAGACATGTAACCATTCCATTTGGCAAACTCTAAGAATTATGAAAAAGCCGCATATTTTTCCGTTTTGTCGGTTTTCAGCCACTTCTGAGATGGGAATATCCCGGTTGATGTGTCGGAATTAGTTTGTCATCATAAAAATGGAATATGTGCACTTAAATCGTAAATTATTTTGTTTCAAATGAAAATCAGGCAATTTATTGCCCTGTAAAAATCCCGAGATTATTCTGGCATGGCATTTTAAATGAGTAAATGATCGCATTTGATATTGTAAAATATTCGTGTTCTTGGGATGTGATTACTATTGTGTGTTAGGCATTTAGAAAAATAGAAACATCTTTCTCATTCAATTCTATTTTATCTTCTCACCTCTCTCAATCTCTCTATCTCTCTCTCTCTCTTCCTCACGTCGCTCGGTAATTCAACAGACGGAAGATTGAATTATCTGTTTGTTTTCTTTATGTTGCCTAATATGGGCTACGTGAAGTAAAAATGAAACCACTTTTTTGATCTCTTATTCAGTCCAGACTCTTTCGTTTCGTGTTTATGTACGTGTGATTGTGTGTGTTCCTCGTTCAATCTTCGCTCGGCTCGAAATTCCTGTATGCCAATGTATCAAATGAGACCGCGCGCGGTCCAAATAACAATGCGGCGAACGTAAACGCCATATATGCACTTTTTGTCATTTCCCATTCACTGTGTGCCTTATTGAACTTTAAAATTACATGAATAAATACGATTGATGTGCTAAACGAAAAGCAAGCAGCACAAAAATCAACAAAACTAATGAACACAACGACGTTGCAAGAGACGAAAGACAGCAAAAGAAGAAAAAAATAAGACGAATAAGAAAAAAAATGCTCTTTTCTTCTTTGGCTGAATATCAAGCAAATGAAATGCGATGAATACAAATTTTCTCTCGCGAGCGCACGAGTACAAAAACGCTTCCATACAATGCGAGAGAGATATTTTCATGTGTCCAATACATCAATTGCATGTCGTACAGTAAGAGAAATAACATAAACGTGGACAATAACACAAGCGCAAATAAAAATAATGAGGAGAAATATATCACTGGTTTTATTTCATAAGAAAAATGCCGTGCACAACTATACCGTGCAGTGTGTGTGTGTGTGTGTGCACGTTCAGTTTGGCTTTTTGGTTTGAATCTTTCAGTTTCGTTACATGCGTCAACGACAATAACTTTTGAAATCACGTTGATTATGCTCGTTACATTCTGAATGCGCTGAGACATCGACTTGCGCGCTCGAGTGGACACACGGGCAAATGAAGGAAAATAAAAAACAGTTCAATGGTTTATATTTGGTAATGCAACCAAAAATGGTACCGTTCGAGACAAATAGTTTACTGCGCTTCATCGTTTGGCGACGCAAACACACTCAAAGCGAGCTGACGGAAAAAAAAACAAACAAACTTTTACAGTTGCTGTGTCCTAAGAAAAGAGGTGGATGGGTTTACTTTGCATTGGATTTGGTTTTTTATTCTGCTGCCACTGGCGGCAGTTTGCGTGTTCGATAATTGCACAACTTTATCGACGATTCCGTGTATTCCGAAATTGGATGTGCAATTTAATCCACTGCACTAAGATCGATCGTCTACTTTGGCCAAACGCAACGAACATTCTGAAGAAAAAAAAACATTCCATAAGAACAAAGCGCACGCATCGAACCAGAAAAGAAGCGAATCCTTTTATTAAAACCACCAATCCAAATAAATATTATAGGCAAACTAATAATACGCACTGCTGGAACGTCTCCGCTCTACTTACCTACGCTCTGGATCACAGTATGATAAAATACAATCTGAGATCGTTGCTTATATGGCGTTTCATCGCCGCCTAGTTTATGTATTGTACTTCAATACACATTAACGACGATAGCACACAATGTATTCGGTTGGATCCTCCGTTTTATATCTCTCATATCGACGTAAACAGGAAAACGATCTTCAGATCCAAGCCATTTGTTAAATTATTGGCTTATTCATAGCCCAACATAGTCCGGACTGAAGTGTAAGCGAAGGAATTTGTGTTACACGGTCAATTCATTAAAGTCGGCGTCTTAACAAAGCGGAAAATTAAAGAGTCACGTTCGATTATTATCTCAGTATAACAAAATTAATTGATCCAGCCGTACATTATTTCCCCATTTCTCTATCAACATCTTTCTGGCTGCGTTTGATTTGTTTTTTTTTTTCAAAAGGGGTTCCATTGCACCTTATCGCTGCTCATCCAATTTATACAAACGATCTAATAAATAACCAGTTTCAATGAAACCATCCGATTTCGATTGATTTGTATAACGAAAAGAAAAAGAGATCGGAGAAAGGATTTCATAGCTGATAAAATTAAATTGATTTGAGAGAAAAGATTTCATAGGAAATTAGTTATGTACACTTTTTATTGCTTCAATAGATTTATCGATGTTCAATAGAAACTTCGTGTTAGGTGAAAATACTTTAGTTTTACCACGAGTTTAACATTTTATTGATATGGCTTTGTTAGTGTTGAATACAGCCGGTGCTCGATAGTTGATAGAATTCACTTTCTGAAGTCGATAAACAATTTTATAGCACAAAGTTCTCAAGTCGATAAACACATCAATTGGGGAATTTGAATATATTCCATGAAATTACATTGTGAAGTAATAAAAAAACACAATCCACCAATTTATCTAAACGATTGAAATATTCGGATTTTTTTAAAATTTTGTATTCAAAACAACATTCGTATTTCCAGAACTTCCAAGTGATATTCATAGCGCTCAAAGCGGCAGTTTCTCCACGACCAGCGTCTTGGGTTCTGGAACGGTCATTTGATGGATATGAGTATTTTCCATGGCAATACTTTGGCGTGAATGACGATGACTGTCGAAAACGATACAACCTTCCGGGTCAAAATGAACCATACCAACTCGAAACAGATGATCAAATCATCTGTTCCACACAATTTTCGAAGGCGGTACCCTTGGAAAACGGTGAAGTATGTTTCGTTTTCATAATATTTCAACATTTTTTTTTTAAATAGCTTCAAGTCAAATAATTCTCATTGAAAAAAATTATTTTTGATCCAACTATTGAACTCAATAACACCATTTTTTTTTTAATCTTTCCATTCGATTTTTCTTGAAAACATTCTCATCAAATGTAGATTCACATAAAAGTACTGGAAGGACGACCAGGAACGAAAACAAAAGTGATACCAACCACTTTGCTTGATTTCACGTTGGCGCGATATTTAAGATTTCGTTTCCAAGGAATGCACACAACGCTACAATCGTCCAATAGCATTCAATGGCTTGTCGATCGCGATCAGCTGAATAAACGAAGCTTTTACTCGTTACGTTATATCAAGATCGGCGCTCGTCTTGACTGTAATGGACACGCAAAACAGGCGAAGCTATATAACGATGATGAGGTAAATATCAAAAGCCATCTTTTAAAGAGTCATAAAATAAGTTTTAATGAAAAATCCATCACTGCTAGGTAATTGAATGTGAATGTGCCCACAATACTTGTGGTGTAAATTGTGAAAAATGTTGTCCGTTGTACAATCAAAAACCGTACAAGCAAGGCACATCAACTGATAGAAATGCGTGCGAAAAATGTGAGGTTTGTAGTTCAATTCATATTTTTTTTCGTTTCAAATTAAGCAATCTGTACTTCATTGAAATTTTATTTATTTAGTGCTATGGACATTCCAACGAATGCTATTATAATCCAGAGGTCGATCATCGTGGCATAAGTATTAACACAGATGGCGTTTATAGTGGAGGCGGTGTTTGTCTCAACTGCACGGTACAACGGCTGACTAGTATAAAGCTTACGATCACTTGTCAATGTTTTTTTTCTTTCGTATTTTACTTTGTACAGGATTTAACGAGTGGAATTAATTGTGAAAAATGTATCAGTAGCTATTATCGGCCGTATGGAGTTTCGCCCAGTGTAAAAGAACCATGTATTCCGTGCGAATGCAATCCAATCGGTACGATTGGAACGTGTGCAGGTATCGGAGGCGCATGCACCTGTAAACGAGGTTTCGCGGGAAAAAAGTGCGCAGAGTGTGCGCCAGGATTCAGTGGACAAAATTGCACACAATGCCCTTGTAATTCTCGTGGAACAATGCCCGGCGGTGAATGCGAATCGCATTGTCAGTGCAAGGTAACTTAATTCTCATTAAAACGTTTATTAATTTGTTACAAAATTAATATTTCAATTTCGGAACAAATTTTTTTTCATCGAATTGTTGTTTCTCGATTTCAATAGCTCTACGTCGAAGGCGAACTTTGTGACAAATGTATGCCAGGATATTTTGGACTATCAGAATTAAATCCTGAAGGTTGTACGAAATGTTATTGCTCGGGTGTTGGTAATATCTGTGAAAGTAGTAACATTGTAACGAACACGGTAATTTAAATATGAGCCTATTCATTGTCGTTCACTACCGAGCCATCGAAATGATTTTATTTTCAATTCTATTTTTTCAGTATGAAACAATGGAAGATTGGAAAATAACGGACATTTCGCGTTCTTACATTTTGTATCCTTCGAAAGATAACGAAACCGGCTTTCTGGTGTTCAACATGTACGAAATGTCGGAATCCATATATTGGCTTGCACCTGATTTGTACTGCGGCAATAAGTTACAAAGCTATGGTTCCAATTTTGTTTTCACTATCTCTTGGGTAAGTTGATTTCTTTATGTAAATAAGATGTAGAGCTTAAAACACAAAAGTATGATTTAATTTTTGAAAAAAATGTAATCAATAAAATTTCATCATCGATCCCTCCCTTTTTCTATCTAGATTGTTGTCCGAGGAGACACTAGTGGAAAACCAACTTTCTGTCCCACATTAATCATAGTCGGTGTAAATGGCATGAAAATTGCCATCGGAGATGAAATTTTTTCGGAAACAAACTCAACGATCTCGATTCAATTAACAGAGCATGGATGGTATCAAATGCCACAGACAATATCGGAGAACAGCGGATTACTTCGACAGAATGAGTATCGTGGTGATCATGTGTCTCGATCGCAGTTTCTATCAATTTTAAGTAATATCGAAAGTGTCATGCTACGCGGATCGTTCCACACGGATCAAGCGGAAAGTATTTTGATTCGTGCTTCGTTGGAATTTAGCAAAGGAACGAAAAATGAATTGCGATCAAACTTGGTGGAGCAATGCACTTGTCCGCAAGGATACACTGGATTGTCATGTGAATCCTGTGATTTTGGTTATGTGCGGGCATATGAGAACACCACATCGATTCAACTGGGTATCTGTTTGCCATGCTCATGCAACGGTCATGCTGAATCTTGTGACTTGACAGCGAATAAGTGCAGCGAATGTACACATAACACAACGGGTGAAAGGTAAACTTGGAATTGCAATTATTAATTTGTCAATTTAATCATTTATTATTAATCAACAGCAATAACATTCAATACATTTCGATTATTCAATCATTTTGGCATTGAAATTTATTTTCTAAATAGATGTGAATCATGCGCATCGGGCTACTATGGTAATGCCAAACTAGGAACACCGCTTGATTGTAAACGATGTGCCTGTCCGTTGCTCAATGACGAAAATAACTTTTCACCAACTTGCCAACTGAGAGACTCTACGTTTGATCAACAGAACGAAGTTACCAGTGACTACAGTTTGATTTCCTATCAAAACAACGACTATGTTTGCACTGAATGTCCAGAAGGCTACATTGGAGACCACTGTGAAAGGTATACATTTTTCTTAAATTACGACTGGTCAATTGACTTGTCAATACAGTTGGAAAAGAATACATCTTTTAACATCACATTATGATCGCAGCTCAATCCGCAGCTTCAAATTTTCAATTCGACTTATTTGTGCTTTTCAGTTGCGCCGATGGATATTATGGAGTTCCAACGAAACTATCTTCACAGTGCTTAAAATGCCAATGCAATGGAGGACCTTGTGATCCTATTACCGGTAAATGTGTTACGTGCCAGTGAGTATTAATTTGACAAAGCTGTTTTAACAATTCTCAAGAATTTGTGTTATGAAATAACTTAATTAATCTAATTAAATAATAAATTAATTTCCAACATTTTTTCAATTATTCTCACAAAGTAACTGCTCAATTATTTGAATTGTATTTACTATTTGTTTCATTTGTGTATATTTTCAGAGGAAACACGGAAGGGTGGCGATGTGAACAATGTAAGTCAGGCTTCTTCGGAAATCCAGCAAAGGGATGTGAACTATGCCGTTGCCAAAGCGAAGGATCAGAGGATAACAATTGCGATAGAGAAAGTGGTCAATGCAAATGCAAAAAGAACTATGATGGATATCAATGTGACGAGTGTGCGGTATGTATCGTTTTCGTTCATATTATTGTGATGTTTTCCGATATTGATCCACACACAGATATCCTGTTGTCGATCTCATTTTTTTTCTTCAATTTCAACTTTGATTTTATCAATCAGAAATTTTCATGAACTTTCTTTTCTTTTATTAAAGCAAAATATTTTAAAATGACTAACGGCCAATGGCTAATATTCCCATAATTCATTTCTTTCACAGTTTGGATACGCAAACATCTCGCTTGGTTGCCCAGCGTGCAATTGCAATAGCAGCGGTTCGATTGAGAATTTCTGTGACACTCACAGCGGCCAGTGTCCGTGCAAAATGGGTGTCGAAGGATTGCGGTGTGACGAATGCGTGGAGGGATTCTATGGTCTCTCAACGGACGGATGTCAAGGTAAATTGAATATTTCAATCGTTTCCGTTTTAAAGCGAGCAACTTGTATATCAATGCGAAACGAAACCATACACTGAAATGAGAGAGACTTAATTTACCATCGTGATATACTGAGCTTATAAAACTGACAAATTTATTTGAGTGTATGACAAAAAAGTGCGGTTTTATGATCTGAGAAAGTGGAATCGATGCCACTTGAAAATAGCGAAAATGTTTGGGAAGCAACAAGAGCTGTGTGTGTGTGTGTGTGTGTGTGTGTGTTGCGGTAAATAAATTAAAGTAAATGCAACAGACGCTTGGATTCATGTAGTCAAAGACTGTCTAGAGACTGAAAACCGCTGATGCGTAATTCTATGCGTCGTGAAATGTGGCTGGGCTGTTGGTTGGCTGGCACGAGTAGGCGTTGTGATTTATTTTCGCATCCATATAGTAATGCACGGTACATGAATAACGATCGTTTCGTTGGCAAAAATTGCAATCCGATCTTGAATTACTTTTTCAGCAAATCGTATTTGTCGTGTGAATGAAAGCGAATTAATCGCCACGAACAACGAATCTCTCTCTCTCTCATTCATAAAATAATATATTTTTAAACAATTCTTTTCATTCATAATTGTCTTTTTCTATGAGCAATTTTTGCCTCAATGAAACAGCTGTGATTGCGTTTACTTTGTGCCCGGTTGACAGATGTTGGCTAGATCAATCGATGACAAAAATAATTGTTCTGCATGCATAATTAGACATTTCAAAACGCAGAAGCCCACAGTAATTTATGAAATTGGATTGCAGTATTTAAATGAATGTGTTCGTCATTTGTGACGATGCTTTGTGAATAGCGAACGGAGAAAATCCAGAAAAATGAGCAAAAACTGAAATTGCTCATCGTCTGAGTCAACAGTGAACATTTGTTATGCTTCATACGATCGAAGCATGAAATCGACTACTTACAACGTCCCGAGACTGCGGCTGCAGCACGCAAAAACTTACCAAAGATTCTAAAATTCGACCAAAATTCCTGTGTGAGTGAGAGAATCCGAATGATATAAAGGCATGAAAAGAAGTACGGTCGAATCGTTGTGTATGAGCGTATTCAAGTGAACATTCGTGCATGATTCAATACCCAGACACATATTTAAGCCGAGACCGATCGCCTAAAAACAACTACACTGAAACGCAAGCGAATTTCAGGCTGGAAACATAGGAAATGAGTGCAACATAATGCGCAAACATACTATTGAAATAGTTCGTGCTTGGATTTTGCCGAACGCGCATCGCGTTTCGCTTTGCACTCTTCGCGCTCCAATAAAAATGTGAGTCGACGTTGTTTTCGTGCGTGTTCTTTTCATTTCATACGTCGGCCGTTTCTCACAGTTTTTGACAATAGAACTGTTTTTTTTGTTTTTAAATTCCTTCTGTCGTCTTCATGTGTGCGACAAACGAGAAAATATTCGATTGGAATTCCGTAAAAGCAGCTAACATCGCCGATAAAGCAGCGAAATACAGCGAAACTGAATAGAATCATTCTTAAATGATTGTGAGACAAATAACACAATAAAATACGAATAAAAATAAAATAAAGTGAAAAAAAAAAACAACGACACATTCGATTACAAGTGTGCAGTTATTGAATTGAGAATAAAAGGTTATTGCCTTTTAATAGTTGTGATTTAGAGTGCAAACATACTTGAAGAGAGGTGCTCTGAAGTGTGTGTGATTTATAATAAGAATCCGAATGTACAGTTGTCTAGTTATAAGTGTAAACAGCAGAAACATCAAAGTGAACAACCAAAAAAAAAACGGCGTGTTTTCCGTGTCTAGACCAAATTAAACAGAGACAAGATCAATCGCAACAATGAAATTATGTTTGTTGGGTCAAAATTTAACACAAAAAACTGTATAATTAAATTATCGTGAATTATATGCATTTTTTCCAACCAAATCTCAAATTCAACCGGCGCTGCAATTTTGTTTCGATCGTGATTGTTTTTCGTCTGAAATTCAAAGGCGACCAAACGTGAAATTGTCGCGACGTTTATTCGCTTTTTTCTCTCTCTCTCTCTCTCCTCATTTTCCGCCGAAATTTTAGTGAACAATCGAAAGAGTTTTGCTGCAAGCTATTGAACTGTTTATTATTCTACAATGCGGCTCCATGATTTATATATATTTATTTATTTTTTTCGAGCAATTTTTGAGTTCATGCATTTGTTGCATGCGGCTATTGTTATCACTTACAATACATCTTCGCCTTAACAGTTTGCGAACGAGTTGCAAAATAAAACATGATTGTGTGAGGCAAAATTGGCGAAAACAAATCATTTGCATTTCAAGTTAAAAACCGAAGAAAATGAGATGTGTAATCTTGAACGCATTTTACACGTGGTTCAATCAGTAAAATGTTTTAAATAATGATCGATTGATCGTTTATTCAAATTTCGAAACAAAGTAAACAAAGTCATAAGAATCCCTGAAAGGTTCACGTTCACCGCAATAAAATTGATTTATTGTTCAAAGTAGGTCTTTTTTTTCTTAAAAAAAAGAAAAAATGAAAATCGACGCTTTGAATTCATCAAAGCATGAAAACTGGATCAGAACAAGTTCATGTTCACGTTCAATTTGAACGAACTACTACTATTGATGGCCCATCGTCATACATTTGCCAAACAACACTCTTTCTAACGACAGGCTTAAGGTACTACGTACTATTACATCCAAATGAATTATTGACGTCAGTTTTTTATTACGTCTTACGCCAGTCGATATTGACGACTAGACACGAGATTAGAATGATCGCACTCGCAAATCAGTTTTGTCTGAACGAGAGGGAGACGAATGGCTTAGGCTCAAGCACGGTTCTGAATGTAATGACTCCTTGTGCAAGTGAAAGAAAAAGCAATCTCGTTTCAATTGTTCCACCGGCAAAATGCTCTATAATTTATTTATGCAAACACGATGTTAGTGAAAGAGTGCGTGGTAAACATAAACAAATATCTCTGAGGTTCGTCATGACTTTCGAGTCTTGCGAGATTTTTCTCTCTTTTTCCTTCTCTCACTTTTTGTCCCATCTTCCAAGCAGCACCAGCTCGCGCGCCGTTCAACACGCTACGACAGTACAAGCGGGGAGTATAAGCGAACGGGAGAGAAAGAAAAAAAAAAGAATTCGCATTGGACGATGTAGTAAAGGAAGACATCCCACATTAATATTTATATGAGATGTTGTTGTTTATGTTGTGATTTTTTTACCACACACAGTGTAATATGGTATGAAATTCTTGGCTGCATTATGCAGACATCCGATGCTTGAGCTGTGCTGCATACGATTTAGGCTCTGTTTATCATCGTTTCATCTATATTTCTACGGACATGCAAGTTATTACCAGAGGGAAGAGGTAATGTGCCTGTTGCCGATGCCCGATTCTCTGATTCCACAGCAACCAACTCAATCGTCAATTTTGGTTAGAAATGCTCACAGAAAAAAGAACACAACTACCAAGACAACGACGAAGAGAGAAGCATCTATTTCGAATCAAAGTAGTAAAGTCATTTTATATTTTGTTTAAATCACTCAAGATTTTGCTGATTTATCAATACGAACTCCGCCTTTGACCGAACCAAGCATTAAACATGGGCAAAAAGTAAATATTTAAATGAGCCATTTCGGCACGAAATGTATGTATTTGCGCATAGCGCGACTAAAGACACTTTCCATGTTATTTATTCTGAAAGTATTTATAAATCCATGTTTATCCTATTTCAAAAGTGGTTTCACAATTACAGTAAGTGTTATTGAAGCGTAATTGCATTGGCGTGAACAGAGATTTTTCTCTCTCTCTCTCTTTCTCTCTCTTTCGAGGCTCTGGAGTAGCTAGCCAACGGTTTCATTTTAATTCGAAATGACACGAAGTGTTAAGAAATCTTCATTATGAACGTTCGATTGGCCAAAGTGTGGATATGCTGTGAGGGGAAACTAGAGAGAGAGAGAGAAAAAACAAGCGAAAAGAAAAACGTTGTAGCACATAGTAATGTAACATAACACCGTACGTAAATTCGTAATTCAACCTGAGTTCCGATTTGCATGAGAACTTTCGTGCTCGTTTCTGCGAATTGACCTCAGAATGAAACAAAAAACCACGGCGCACATTTATTTTACTATATTATATATGTATGTTGTTATCAATTGGGTATTTGAGCTGAACAGGAAACCCAGTTTGGCAACAACGAAATGCTAGAATAAATGGCTATCGATAGAAAATAAACAGACGATTTCAAATGAACCAATCCATAGTGTGAGAGTGTTAAAGTATAAACATTAAAAGTACGTAATGTATTAGATCTTATCGCGAATGAACTGAGTCGTCGCGTTTGCAAAGTGTTCCAATCGATAAAAGCATTCGCTGTTTTCTCATCGTATTTTGTTCACACTGAATATACATCTTGGTCGGCTGTGTGAAACTCTGTGAATTTCGTAAAAAAAAAAAAAATGCTCGTGTAAAAATAAAGGAACTGAAGAAATGCTATTATTGTTATGATAATAATTGAATAACGATGTTTTGCACTTATTCATTTCTGTTGTGTGCAAAAATAGCTAGAGTTTCACATCGATGATGGAATAATGGTGAAATGGAAGATTTAAGTAAACAAAGGCCGATGAGCATTCGGCTCGTTGCAATGCAATGCCGTCATCTTTGCACTTTAACGGCATTGATGGTGATTCTCTTAGTGTTGGACGACTGTTACGGTGATCAAATCGAAGGAGATCTGGACGATATAAATAGTGGCACAAGTCAAGTTCAATTTAAAAAACACCATCAACGTCAAGCACTCAACTTTAACGTGACATTGCACGACAACCGGCTACTGCGTGATGAAACTATCAAAAGTGATGAGGCGGCAACTGCAGCAGCATTAGAAGCATCACCCATCCAAAATGCCCATGTTTTAATGAACAAATCAGATAGACGCGTTGAAAGAAACGGCCAAACAACAGCAAGTGCAGTCAAAACAACAGCGAACAATCGATTCGATCCAAAACGTGATTCACATCGCAAAGCTTATCAATCACGTAATATAAATGGAAATCCACTGGCAATGGATCGTCAAAGGCTCGTACACGAATTTAAAAATACAAGTGACGTGAGTGGCGGTTCGAATCGTGACCATAATTCATTCAATCGACCACTTGAAAGAGTGCCCAACGCTAAACCAAAGATAACTTCCAAACTTTCCGACGCCCCATCGTACAATGTCCGTACAACAACTTATTTATCTTATAATTTAGTTCGGGATAATGTGCAAAAAACCGAAAGATTTATGCCAACTTCCTACCAACGGCCACAGCCCAACACAACGCAAATCAAACAAACTAGCACAAATTATATTTATAAAACCTATTATCGACCGACACAACGAAACAACTGCAATAAATGCCGAATCATACCAGGTGCACCAATACGCCATAAATCGTATTTTCCAACCAGAGTTCGATATCACGGTATGTAAAAGTATACAGTGTACACTCGACACTCGACACGATAGATGATAGACGCACTGACGCAGAAAATTTTATAATTCAAGTTATGTACGATACCAGTGCTGGTGTGATCAAACAAAAAGTCAGCCGATAAAGCTAATGTCTTTCAACAGTTTTGCATTTTCATAAGCGTTAAGTTTTGATGGATTGTATTTGAAAAATCGAAATCGAAAACGGTGCACTGCGATAACTCAATCGCGCATACTTGAAATCATGCTTTGATCTCTTGATTGTTTAATTAACATGTACGCTCAGCAAGTATTTCGAGCGATTTTCTGCTTTAAAGTCTGTAATTCGAAACGCATTTCATGTCCTGCTGTGTGCTCTGTGTATTTTCACAGCGTAAATTTAATGCGAATTGTCAGTATTTAGTATATGGCATATATAGTCTTCAAAAGAAATCGTCGAATTCCATCGAATGACTCAATTTATTGCATCGTTTTAAAATATGTACAACATTGTAAACATCGAAATCCATCAAATGTGGTTTAAACGACTTATATGGGTTTATTGACTCGTCAATTACTATGATAGATTCTAAAATTGAGCGTGTCAAACTAAAATCGTTATTTTTACGTCAAAAAGTATCTCTCCTTAACTCCATTTTCTTTCTCTTCGAAATATAAAAACATAACTGAAACGAATGGTCTCTTTCCGCACACAAATTGACCTGAATTTTACTCGAAACAAACATGTTTAATTTTGCTACATAAACATTTAACTAAATTGATTAGCAGTCGATAAATTCATGCAATTTATTCTTTATTAAACATTCTCGAGAGCTTGTTATCGTTCTTTTTGCCATCTCTGTCAGAAGCTTATTAAATCAATTGATTAAATTATGTAATTAAAGTAATTACGTTTTATCTTTTAACTTATAATTTACAACTAAATACGTGGATGGTTTTTGCTTTCAGAATGCCACTGCAATCCGTTGGGTTCGGTTGCGCAAAATTGCAACAAACACAATGGTCAATGCTACTGCCGCGAGAATGTAACAGGTCGTACTTGTGATAAATGCTCGGAAGGATTTTGGAATCTTGAATCTGGGAAAGGTTGTCAAAGTTGCGCCTGCAATGGCATCGGTAGCATCAATTTCAGTTGTAATGCATACACCGGCCAGTGTAATTGCAAGCCCGGCGTTGGTGGTCCGAAGTGTGATTCATGCCTTGAAGGCTACTATGGATACTCGGCGATTGGATGCAAACGTAAGCAGAATATTTTTAATTTAATCATTAAATTAATGTAATGTAACGGCAAGATTGGTGGAGGTGAAGCTATAGGTTGGCTTGCAGTTTTGATTAAAATGTTCATAGTTTTTAGCTCAAGGAAATATCTCTATTTTAATAATATAATCAAAACGAATCTTATCTCATCGAAATTAATCCGATAATACTTGCAGGCTGCGATGAGTGTTCAAACTCAGCTTATAATTGCGATCCAGAATCAGGCCGGTGTATTTGCCCACTGCACAGCAAAGGAATCGATTGCAATCAATGTATGCCAAACTCATACGGATGGGAGCACAAAAAAGGTTGCAAATTATGTGAATGCGATCACACCGGTTCGATTGGTCAGTCGTGTGACTTGTACACGGGCCAATGCTTGTGTCGTGAAGGCTTCACGGGACGTCAATGCAACCGATGTTCAATCGGATACTTTGGTTATCCAAGCTGTGAACGATGCAACTGTAATCGTGATGGATCGATAATTGCAAATGATACCGAACCAATTGCTTGTAATGAAGAAGGGCAATGCTCGTGCAAAGCATTGGCGACTGGTAAAAAGTGTGACCAATGCATCGAATCAACATTTGGACTATCGAAACATAATGCGGACGGTTGTACGAGATGCTTCTGTTTTGGTCGATCCAATGAATGTACGCAAAGTGACTTCAGCTGGGGATTGATTAGAGCCACCGAAACACGATGCGTGACCGTTGAATATCAGAATATCGAATATGTAGCACTTCAAACACCGGATAACAGTCTCGCAATTAACTACGAAACCAATTTTCAAACATTTGATGGGTTGTCGGTTATTCCTGGCACAAATGGTTTGTTCAAACTACTTTTATTTTCATAGATTTAATTCGTTTCACCGTCCAAAGATTTGAATGAAGTACAAGAAATAATTTTTTTCCAATTCTAATTTTCTCCATAGGAAATGTGTCGATGAAATCATCGCGTGGATTTGAGACGCCTCTCTATTTCGAAATGCCCAAGCAATTCATCGGAGATCGATTGCTGAGCTATGGTGGTCTTCTCAAATTCAACATCGAAATGATGGAGTGTAAAACCGAACTTGATCAAATAACACTGCAACACTTCCCATTGATTCGGATTCACGCCCATAACTCATTGAATTTAGACTATTTTGGGGTATGTAGAAATCAAAATACGAACCAAAAACGAAAAATTTTTAAAAAAATTCTTTAAAAATTAAGAAATTCATAAATTTTGATTTCCATTGTAATTGGAAAGTGTTCAATGAATACAAAGATAGACACGTTTTGAGAATATTTGAAATATTTTCTTCCCGCTTTAAGCCGGAATCATTTGAGACCACATCAAACATCACGCAAACAATTCAAATGGTTGAAAATAATTGGAAGCTGCATCCAAGCGGCGAAGTAGCTTCAAGAGGAATATTCATGACTGCCTTACAGAATATCACATATATTTTGGTTCGAGGAGCATCATCAGTTGCTTTCACAAGTCTCACGTTAGTATTTCCTCTAATATACTGTGTAAAAGTTGCAATTATTCTTCACTTACAATTAGACGTTTTTAAATTGTCTTTCTTTTAATGTTTAGTCTTAGTAATTTTGGAATATGTTATGAAATCGATGCGTTATGTTCAATATACGTGAAAAAAGAAGATTGTTATCAAAACCCTTTCTTTTAGATTATCAAACGTAACATTGGAAACGGCCATTTTCATATCGGGATCGAAAAATAATTTGGCCATTGGAGTTGAAATGTGTCAGTGCCCCGAGATGTATGAGGGATCATCGTGTCAAAATCCAGGTGATGGATACTATCGTTACAGAGAGACGATAACTGAATCATCTCATCTGCACTACGAACATTTTGTCGGAATATCAAAGCCATGTGAATGCAACGGTCGAAGCAATAGTTGTAACAAAGAGACTGGTTACTGTGAGGTAAAGAACGAAAAACATTTGTTACTCTTTTTCAATGAAAGACCTTTTTTCATCCTTTTCATTAGTTTTTAAAGACATTCACGATTTCTTACATTTTACTTCAAATTTATTTTTAGATGTGTGCCAATAACACCGGTGGAGCTAAATGTGAAGTATGTGCTGATGGTTATTATGGAGATCCGAAAGAATTCGGTTGCCAGTCATGCCCATGCCCAGAAACTCATCGCAACTTCGCTAAAGGATGCACATTTCGCCATGGAAGAGTCAGTTGTAGCTGTCGACTTGGGTACATTGGCGATTTTTGCGACAGTTGTGCACCAGGATTCTATGGATCGCCAGAACAAGAGGGAGGTGGGTGTATCGATTGCAAGTGTAATCCATACGGTTCCGTTTCCATTGAATGTGATGCATTCACTGGAGATTGCATGTGTAAGGATGGCATCATTGGTGAACGGTGCGATAAATGTGGTCAACCTACGGCAATTTTGGAAAGTGGCGGTTGTACAGGTGAAATCAAGAGAGTTTCCAATAAAATTTGTCCAGAGATGTGAAAGCTTTAAATTTGCTTTCATTTCTTTTTCAGTTTGTGACAACTGTACACTTACATTACTCGAGAGCTCAAACGACCTTGGTTATTACATTCAAACGGAAACTCGTCACATCGATTTGGACTCCATTCCAGCGCCATGGTCACGACTGTTATCGTACGAAAATACAACGGAGCATCTCATCATAAGGCTAAATGACATTACCAAATCAACGGAAAAAATAGAGAATTACAACGATTTGCAAATCGATAAGGTAAAAAAAAAGCATTTACCGCAAATTACTCGAAACTAAAAGTTTTTCTTTCGCTTCAGTTGAGTTCAAAGGGATCGAATTTGAATACACGATGGCAAAAAATGTTAACAAAAGCGGTGAAGCGAAGCCAAATATCGGATAACTTGAGAACGATTGCGATTACATTCTGGAACGAAATGGAATACGTTCAAAATGAAACGCAAGAGCATATCAATGTGCTCAACGTTTTCGGAATTGGCAGTCATCATGTCAATCTACCGATTGCGCTGGCTGAATCACAACAACTGCTGAAAAGTATTCTCGGTGTCGTCGATAGTCATAATGTCGCCCATCGTGCGCATCAATGTGCGGTCACTTTGATCGATCAGTGGTCCAATACGTCATCAATTTTAAGCGATCAAATGCTTGAGGCGCTTCAACTCAAATACGATATAATTAATGCGAAGAACCGACTCTATGATTTGATTCAAAATATTTATAAGACATCGGATACAATTACCAATGCAAAGGGCATTCATGCTGCTAACGAGAAAAACTATGGCAAATTGGTTCACCAGCAGCAGAAAATAATGCAACTGCACGGAAGTATCAATGACATTTACAAGGCAAATATTATACCTGAAACCGACACTGTGTTTAACATGATCGTTGACAACCATCAGAAACTGAGACAGGATCTCGGCACAATCATTCAATTGAAGACGATTGTTCGTGATGCAGACGCCAAATCCACTCAGCAATTGGATGGCATACGACAAGAGTGGCTACCGTTGGCCCAGAACTATTCGAATAGTTTGATGAACATCGCCAGAGAATACGTCGGCCTTTTTCAAAATACGAAAAATAGCGCCGAAGCGGCAATGGTTGCAAGGTAAAATTTGGTTTATTTAGAATTTCGGATCGGATCAATTGGAATTGAAGGATTCGTGTGGAAGAAAAATCCCATTTATTACTGTTTAATTCTACCAACTTTTAATTGCAGTACGGCATATAAAAATATCACCGACTCAGTTACAATGGCACGCGATTTAGCAACTCGAGCTAGACAGACAGCCATCGAAAGTGAGAATGAACTTTATCCAAAACAAGACGAGTCAATAATTGAAAAAAGTACAAAGTCATTGAAGAAATCGCAAAAAATCCACCAACATTCATTAAAAGAGATGGAAAAACTGGATGGTAATACCTTTGATATACGTTAACATAAAAATTTGACTTGAGTTGATTAACAAAAACATATGATACTTTCGTAGATTTGGAACATTCACTGAAATCACAGTGGCGCAAGGTCGACTCAATCAAAAATACCATATGGCAAACGGGCTTGAGAAACAATAACCTCTCACTGACCTTGAATTCATTTTCAAAGAATGACACACAAGAATTTTTAAAGCGTACTATTGAAGTAGCCCAAAGAGTATCGGAACAGATGCGTGAAGTACGTCGTAGTGCAATAGCAATTACCGGCACCGATATTTACAAATTGAAATTGAAACTGGCTTCGCTAGAACCACAATGGGCTGTCAAATTTGGCTTGGCTGAGGAAAATGGTAATATATTTTAGTTGAAATCATGGAAATAAGAAAACTAAAACGAAATTATTTGCAGTTTCGCAATCGATGAGAAATATCAAGGATATCAAAAACACTTTGAGCAGTATTGAGACGTCTTCAAGGCGGAATGATGAGAAATTCAACAAATGGAATGAAACCATGTCGGTGTTGATGCAAGATTTAAAAGCCAAAATCGCCAAAGCACGACACATTGCCGATGGAGTAAGTTTATTTTCAGTTTTAGCTTGCGTACTCTTGAGATCATCTTTTTATACTTACATCATAATCAGTCTTTTGGCTTGAAAAATGTTTTTCTATATTTCCAATCATTACATCATTTCATTTGGTTAAAGTTCATAATGAGAAAATCAGTTTAAAATGATTGCATTTTTTTGACCAGAGCTTAAGAATCGCACTGAGTGGACGCTGCGAGTAGCGCACACACTCACTTGAATGAAAGACGATAAATTCGTGTGCGCTGCTCGTCTCACGAAAATGAGTTTTTATACGCACGTTATACGTACACCGCACACTATGTTCTGCTTCTCCTTCTTCTTCGTTTTGTTCGTATCTGCTATAGCGAAAAGAAGAAAAAGAAGAAGAAGCGGAAGACTGGAGAGTGAGTGAGGCGCACATGATTCTTTTAGATGAGTAGAGTATCGCACAGAGCGCTGTGGCTCTCATTAAAATGAGTTGCACTGCGAACTGAGTGTGCGATTCTTAGCCCCTGTTTTTGACATTACTTTTCATTTGTTTTAACAAACTTTTAACGTTAAATGTTCCAAGACAAAATTACTTCGACCAACAGATGAGTGCCTTAAAAATTACAATTTTTTGTAGAAAATCTTCTTTCTATATAAAGCAATTTTGAAGTGTTATCAATAATTCATTTCTAATGTATTTTTCTACTAGATTCGCGTTTCACTGGCGTCGAAATCAGTGAAATGTATCCGTTCGTATTCGTTGCCAACATTGGGATTGGCTACGGCCAACAGCATAAAGCTATCGATTGCACTGAATTCAAAAATGGCAACGACACCCATCTTGTTTATGCAAGGAGAAGATAATCGCTACTTAGCCATTGAATTGGTAAAAAGGAAGATACGATTTGTATGGAATTTGGGTGGAGACACCGCATCCATAACACATCCAATGGAATTGCATAAGAAAGATTTGAATTACGATGAGGCATGGTATCAAATCGAGGCGAACCGAACAATGAACGTTGGCAACTTGATAGGTAAAGTGAATTCTATAAAAAACAAAAGAACTTGAAGACATTTAAAAAGAATGCGACCTGTCTTCGAGCCATTTTCTTCATTGCAGAAATATCGGTCATTTCAATTGATGAATTAAATTAGTATTTCTCTAACACTGTTGATTTTCTGCGTGAATATTCTTTTGTAGTGCGTCAAATGGGTACGGGCTGGACAAAGGCAACATCAGTACAAAGTACAGCATCGCAACCAGAATCGACTCGAATCATATTTACACCGAATAAGCGTTTGTGGATTGGCGGAGTGCCGGATGAAATTCGACCGCAAGAGCTGCTGGCACAGGAAGCTGGCCTCAACGCAGTCTTGAGTAATGTTTACATCGATGAAAAACGGATTGGTTTGTGGAGTTTCATGCACACCGAAGGCGAGTGTGATGGTGCAACGTTGGGCGCTCGCGAAATCACATCCATCGACAATGCGCGCCATTTTAATGGCCAAGGATATTCGGTTGTGAAAAAAGAGCGCTCAAAACCGTACAAGAAAAACTTTTTCGCCCTGCAGCTCACATTCAAAACTTTGGACGAAAATGCGCTACTTTTCTTGGCAATCGACGAAAAAAATGTAAGCACCATAGACTCTTTTTACACGCTAATTATTCCGCTAAATTTAAGCATCAACTTTTTTTTCTCTTCGTTCACAGAATCGGTCCATTTCGCTTACACTTTATGATGGAAGAATTATGTTCCGCATTGATTACGGAGGCACATCAAAGCTCGAGATTAGCACTGCCAAGAAGTACAACACGGGACGATGGACAAGTGTTGAAGTTGCGCGTGAATTTACATCAAAACGAAGTACAGAGAATGGAAACCTCAAAGTGAATAACGAAGAACCATTGACGGGCTCACCAACGACGCCAATCACGTCGAGCTTGTTGCCGGACTTGTCGCGAGCCGTTTACTATTTGGGAGGAATTCCGCCTGATTTTAAATCGGCCATAAGCAAAGCACCAGGAGCTGACAATGCCTATTTGGGATGCATGAAAGATATCCAAATCAACGGTGAAACATACGATCCACTCGAGACATCACTGCGCAACGGTGTCGAAGCATCTTGCCGAGAGACCATAACACGGTATGCCATTCGTCCACAAATGAAAAATTTATTTGCTCTTTTCATTCTAATCATGTTCCGTATTTTTTGTGCGTTACAGTGCTGGCTTTTATGGAAATGGTTACCTTGAACTGCCGAATCATTCGCTTCGCAAGCGGGCGAATGTTGGATTTGTATTTAAGACGTTACAGGCCGATGCATTAATACTGTTGTCGGTGGTGCCTGCTGTGGAAATAGCCAATAACTATTATGACGAAAAAGATTTGCGCTCAAATTATTCATTTGCACTTGTAAATGGTCGAATTGAATTTTGGGCAGATGCAGGCCGTGGTAGAATAGAGTTAAATTCGAATAACACGCTCAACGATGGCGAGTATCACACCGTGAATGTACTGAAGATGGGCCGGAAGTTTGAGCTACGAGTCGACGATGAATATCAAATGAGCCAATCTTTATCGGCACAACCGTTTGTAATAAATATGATTGAAGGTTCCGGTGGATTTTACGTTGGTGGCATTCCAAATGTACCGGAATACTTGAATTTACTCCAACGAGCCGATCCATTCCATGGAACAATCAAAGACTTCGTAGTCAACAATCAAACGATATCATTTAGTGATTTGGTGAATTCGACTTCGGTTGATGTTGGACGCGATGGACCGAAAATGGGTCAGCATGAATTGTATAATGAAATGTTGATGAAAACGGAACCGATTAGTAAAAGTTTCACTGCCGCGCCAGAGGGTTGCCATCGAGTAAATATTCCACATGCATTTCAATTGGAATTAAAATGTTTTGTTAATGTTTTTGCTTCATATTTTTTTATTCTAGGTTGGCTCCTATTCATACGAACCGAATGCATTCAAGTTTGGCGACACACCACAGAGTCACTCCATCATAAACATTGGCAAGCATTTGTGGCAAACAAACTTTGATATTCAGTTCGATTTTCGAACCTTTTATCCAAATGGCTTGCTATTCTTTGTGCCGGTAACATTTTCGAAACCCCAATCAAAATAGTTTTGAATCTAGCTTACAGCATTTTATATGATGTTTTTTTTTCAGGGTACAAAAGAGAAGCAAAAACATTTTTTCACATTAATCCTACGGAATGGGCAGCTTAATGTTGTTGCACGCGGTCGAAAACGTATTGAAACCATTATGTCACGCAAACTGAATGACGGTCGCTGGCATCGAATCACATTAAAATGTGTTAATAAGGTGCTGACAATCCGGATTCAGAGCGATGGCAATCTCAATGCGATTGATGAAGAAGTTTTGAAAATGCCGCGTCGCATCAGCGCATCGAATATTATGTACGTCGGTGGCATTGTGGACAGTATGCTCACATTTTCGGCCGAATTAACGTCGAAATTGGAACAATTCAAGGGTTGCATTCGACGTCTCCTCATGAATAATATATCGCAGGATTTGGCAAGACCCGGAAAACACTTCGCCATCGGCCAGTGCTTCCCAAATGTTGAGAAGGGATCGTATTTTGCGGGCGATGCTTATGCCATTTACAGTGAGTAAATTTTAGTGTGACTTATTAAAAACCAATTTTAAAATATTCACGACGAATAATGGAATTGTTTATTCAAATCTGCTTTTTATAGAACGCATATTCCACGTGGGAAAGTATCTTGAGCTGCGGTTCGAGTTTCGTACATCTGAAATGCAAGGCATGATTCTAAGTGTGGCCGAACCCGTTGGTTTCCCAGCCATTTCAATTGAACTACACAAGGGAAAGGTAACATGGATATAAAACTCATTTGCAATTGGATTTGTTTATTCTTATCTACACCCTTTTTCTCAACAGATCGTCATGTCATGTGATTTGGGTGATGGCAATCCATTCCGCGTTGAAAGCAATGTCCCATCGAAGTACACTCTCTGCGACAACAACTGGCACAATGTGTCAGCCATTTATGATTCCAATCAAATTGCGATCCGCGTTGATAACTTACCATCCGTCAACAAATTGAAGCAACATGAGACTTTGGGAAAAGTTCACACCAAGAGCCCATTGTACATTGGCGGCCTACCAGATACAGCGCCAAGTGGTACACTGTTGAATCGTGAAAACTTCAAAGGCTGCATACGAAATGTTGTCATTAGAAATGAGCTCAAAGATTGGACCGATATGGATGAAATACAAAATGTACTACTCAGCGAATGTCTAATTATGTCATAGAAGGGAAATTGCATGTGTTAAATTGCCATATAATATTACGTAGATTTAAAAACTATTTATCAGCATTTAGCCTTAACTTTAATTTATATTCTACTTAAGAGCAAATAAATTGATAAAAATCACAAATTTTCTTGTGTTTTTTTTCCCTTGAGGTTTGCATTCAATACCACTGTGAATGTGATGTGCTAACGAAAGCTACTTTTGAATTTTATGCTGTGGAAGTGACAAGTTATTCATTGTTATTTATAAAAACGCACCAGTTTTTGCTACAAAATATGGTTTATGATTTATTGTTCAAAGTTTTATTCCATTATGAATTAATGACGAAAATTCGATGATAGAGCAAATGGTTATTTTCAGAGAAATTGCATGTTCGACTTTTGAATTCTTCAGTCAACAGAAAGTGTTATTGCAAAAACTTATTCGAAACCATGGAACAATCATAAAATAAATTTGAAGAAAAAAAAACAAAATTCTCAGAAACTTCTACGTATTTCGAGCCATTCGCTATTACGTTGACGTACGTCTGCACCAATTTGATCAATATCGACTTTTCGAGGCAAACAAAGTAAGAGATTCAATTTGTTGGATCGTCGTTTAACCGTTTCCAGAATGGCCTGATAGTCAGCCGCACCAATCGCAACCAAAGCCAAATCAGGGTATGGGTAAGGTGTATGCAATGTCATTTGTGTCAAGCGTTTTGCGAAGCGTAGAACATCTTTGAGTCCTCCAATTGTCATGCCAGTCGATCGTATTTTGAGTTTGCTTAGTAATGGCAACCCTTTTGCTAATCGCACCAAATGTTTGTCTTCCAAAACGCTCTCAAATTTACATGACAATTCAAGAACTTTTATGGTTTTCAACTTTGTGATGGTGGAAATGATGTCATCAATCGTTTCTGGATCAAAACTGCACGGGCTTATGGCGATTTCTTCTAGCATAACGCTATTCAACCACAAGCCATCCAACAAAGCCTGTACTGCAATGTCTTGACACTCAATTTCCAAACGTTTCAGAGCCTTCAATTGACCCAATTGCTTCATGTATCGCTCTGTGAGCTTCTTTTCTTCATAAATGCAGAGCTCCTGCAGATTCGGCATCATTTTCACGAACAAGGCAAAAACCTCCGATGAGAATCCGCAATGAATCAAGCTCAATTCTTCCACACTCTGATTTGTTGCCATCGACAAACCGTTTGCTTCGTCATCGAACTCGAAACCTCCCACATCCTCCAGGTGAACGTTTTTCAGTTTGGACAAACCCACGATCATTGTATGCCATTTATTTGTATTCAAATACATGTTTTCCATTCGAAGCGTTTCCATATTTTTGCAATATTTTAGCACTGCGTCAAAATGTTGTTCATCTTCATCTCCAAAAAATTCGAGTTCTTTTACCAAATCACCAAAACGCGGCAAAACAGCGATAGTCTCGTCGTTCAGATGACATTCGTATTTGATGTGTTTCAGCGCAAATACACTTTTGGCTATATTATCCATACGTACACACGTCTCTGCTGCATGTGCCAAGTCAACAAGATCCAATCGTTTGAAAATGTTCAACAAAATTCCATCGCTCAGATCCAGAATATGGGCTGATTGCACGAGCTTCATTTTTTTAGTATATGGTTGCTCCGGTGATTCTTTCGGTGATTCAGTTGTCCAAATTCGATTTTCGATTTTGTGGAAACGCTTTTGCAGCACAGATTCAGCAACTTTTTCGTCTTTGAAGCGAACCAACACGGTTACGTTCTCAATTTCGCCATACTCTTCGAAGTATGAGATGAGACCGGGAATCAACTGTGAATTCGATTGAGAATATTTAATTGTGAACAATTGATCCAAGATGATTATCATCAGATAACTACACACTAAAAAATATCTGTAAGAATTTCCACGATAATAACAATCAAAATGGGATTTATATGACGAATCGTGTAAAACATTAAAATATCGTGTAATTATTAATGTTTCAAAGTTGACGCAAACATTTGACAGATGCGTATATCGGGTTATAATATTGACCAATCCATTGATTTATTTGAAATTACACGATATTTTATCGTTTTTGACACGATTTGTCATATAAATCCATATTAGATTGGTATCATCGTGTAGATTCTTACAGATATTTTTTTAGTGTGTAAGAAGAGATAATATTACTTACCGATTTTGTGACAGGAATGCGCACTTCACTGCTTCCTTGATTCGAATTGGAAATTGCCGTGTTTAACGAACGTTTCTGATTCAGCTGATCCGACATTTTGTGCTGGAATGGAAATCACCAAACAATAATGTATGTTAATTCTCATTAAACTAACTTGAAGATTGCACTGATCAACAAAACGTCAACCATAATATCCATTATCAAGTTATAAAAACACTATCTTTTTTTGAAAAGTGGAAAATTCACCTACAAAAATGCAACACGCAATATTATACAATGTGAAGCCTTGAAATACGACTTTTCCAAACTATCACCAATCAGTTGATGATGACCGAAAATGTAGAACTTTAAATAAACAATAGATTAGTTTGGAATGTGACAAAAACCATTTGTGATTGGCAAAACCAATTAAACATCTTGTCAAGAATTTGATTGTATCTGTCAATGCGTGGTTTTCGTTTGTCGATACCGATTTTGATGAGTTATTGCAATTGTTATGTGCAAATGTTGACCATAACTCTTTGTTCATGTTTTTTTGTTTGTCAATATTCTTTTGTGATGAATTTATAAACAGATTAAAATGAAATGAGCCGACAAGAGTCGCAATTCCATACTTCTTGGTCAACTTCGATCTCAATGTCTGAACGGTTTCTTGATAAATGCAGTGAACCGAACAAGAGCAACAACCACAACATGTTGTTTGGAAAAGAGCGTTTACTTTTTGGTTTTGCGTGTGCTGTGTGCTGTATGTTGTGAAAAAGAACGTTATAAAAGGCATGAAAGTGCGGATATATTTTTTTCCATGCAAGAGAAGAAAAAAAATGAACGAAAATTCCGACAATGGTTGTGCGCTATCTTTCCGTTTGCTTTCGTTCTTCCATTCAACTGCAAAATCTACTATTGTCCTGTCACATCCCACATGAATAATTTTTCCATTTATCAAACCAACGCCGCAAAATGGAATTTCGATTTTTAGATAGGGAATGGAGTCGGACGACGACGACGACAACAATCAGCCATCGCTGCTGTTATGTTGGTGCAGCTGTGGTTGCCGTTATTTTTGCATAGTGTCAATATTATTGTAAACAACGTAAAACCATTGCCGAGTCGAATGGGTTTGAGTGGTGGAATTTTCATCGGTGTGCATTTCTAAAGAGCGTTAGAATAAGCTGAACTGTTGTAATATCATCCACTTCATTTATGATGCAAAGCATTGATCGATAAGTTTGGCCGTTGTTCGTTTTTCTTCAAACATTTTCCCCAAAAAAAAAACCCGTATCACATTTGTGAGTATGTTTATGCTCGCATTGTTTTGGTCGTGAATGGGAAAATCCATGGCACGAATGACGGAGGCAGAGCGTGCAGAAAGGGAGAAAGAATGTTTCAAAAGACTCGAATCAATTCAAACGAATTGACGCTGCACTTTGCACGAATAAAATGTAATGTTGTTTCTTCCTATTTTGCATTTTCGTTGCAACATATTCGCTCGTTTGTTTATTCAGTGCTTGTTTTTGTCGACAGCACGGAACAAACTTATTTGAAACATATTCAAGATTTGTTTAAAATACAAACAGAGATTTACTCGACGAAATTGAAAATTCAATAAGCAATTTGAGCTGGAGCGCTTGCTGCAAACATGTGTTTTAAGATTGCTGAGCATCTCAGCATTTCGTAAGGCACGGATATATCCGAGCATATCGACGACGCATACAGTGGCGTGCGTTGCTACACGACCGGAATGTGTATGTTGTTGCTGCGAACACAATTCGGTCGAGTCGTTGCGGCTGCACGTAGCAACACACGCAACTGTATTATACAGTATGCGTCGTCGATATGCTCGGATATATCCGTGCCTTACGAAATGCTGAGATGCTCAGCAATCTTAAAACACATGTTTGGCTTGCTGAGATCCAAAAGAGCAGCTCAGGCACACTCAATAAGAGCGAGAGAGGGCGAGATAGAGAACATTTGTTTATTAGTTCCAAAAACCTCAGAACTTAGAACTTGTCAAATGGAGTAAATATGTGCAAAGTTTTCCGAAAAATTGAACTTGTGAAATGCGCTCATGTCGAGCACTCCACCATACATATCACCAAATGTTTGGCCAAAATGTATATTGTATATATTTCCTTTTTTCTCACAAGGATCTCGACATGTTAATAATAAATATTTATGTGAGTTGTAGATGAAAATTATCTTTGGCTTTTTGTTAATTAATACACTTTCCTATGGTGATATTCACTCGATTCATGTGTGCATCGGCTTCATCATAAAATGAGCACGAATACACACCACGTTGAATCGTTCATATTTATAATGATAAATATGAGGCTTTAACATTCAGTTCATGTGTGTGTGTTAGTCGGTTTTTCTATGGTTATTTGTTTCGCCGTACAAAAATACGGATAGTACGATACCGGGGTATAATCCATCCTAATTAAATGAAAAGACAAGTTTATAGAAACTGAGCGTATGAAGGTTATGAAAACTTGGGCTAATGAAAAACGTGACTATAATGTCGAATGCTTTCATTAAACTTCTACTCGGCGTGTAGAAAACGCGTTCGCATCGAGCAGTTGATAGCATGCAGTTTTCAGGAGGCGAAACATGCGTAACCCGAACATCAGAGATTCTCCAACGGTTTGGTTCATTCATTGCACGAAGACAAACGTTGCAAACATATTTCTTTAGCGTCTGTTTTGTGTCGGCTGGAGGTTTTTTCCCGATGCAACCTTATAACTTCGGATGCACAGCAGAGCAGAGCACAGCACAGCCCGGCGTTGTCATCATCCCAGCAGACAAAAGCACTTTATTTTTATGGTTCGTGCTTGTTTTTCTTATAAGCTCGATACAAAGGTGCAAATGAAACTGACAAATAAATGTAATGCGATACTTATCACAAGACGGAGATTATTACATTACCATCCCCCTGCTGTCACAACATTCTCAGGCAATCGCCTATTACCCCGTTTGCACAGCAAAATGATGATTAATGAAATCTTCATGAACTCATGAAAGCAAACATATCTTAATCAGAAATCTTCAACGGAGCAACTCGTCAATTCTTCAGAACAAAGGAGGATATACCGAGAAACATTACTGCAATGTATTTCTGTGCGACGAAGATAACACAACAAATTACGTGGGAAAATGAAGAGAGAAGGAAAAATAATTACAGAGATCTGTCGATATGGAATTAATGTAGCTTCTTACTCATGAGACTTTTTTTCCGGAAATTTGTTCCATTTTTACTTTTTCATTGTGCTAAATTCAATATTCTTTCAAAAAAAAAACGAGTTCTTTCTTTAAATAGAATCATTTGATTCGTTGTTTTGAGAAATTATTTACTCTTACCTAGCAACTCTTTCGTTATTTTATGTTGAATCATTTCTAACGGCAATTACCTTTGATTTGTTATTGTTGAAATGATAAATGTTTAGTCAACGTTGTCTCAAAGAAAATCAAGTGAAAAAACATTTTAGGGGAAAAATAAATCATTGCATTTCCATTTATATTTATGAGACCATTAATTTTTCTCTATCCGTCTCTCTCTCTCTCTTTCACACTCTTTGGTTCAGAACATATGCACTTTCAAAAAGTTATAGCACAATATGTGGAGTTTATAGTCGAAGGCTGTGTTTACAAAGCATAGAAACGATTGTGGAGAATTTACACATATATGACATTTCGTGTTGACAGTATTCAATCTATAAACAGTGCATCCGTATCGCTACAAGAATTATCTGTGAAAAATAAAAGAATCCATTGAAAAAAAATGTCTTATTTTGCTAATTTCAACAACGAAGCTGGTAAAACTATTCTTGGTGACATCATAAAAACGTGCAATCATCCCGATAACTCGAAGCGGTTGTCTGAAGCAAAGGCAGCGGCTGGAAAAGAAATGTTGCAAATGATGCACTTGGTATTTCCACAAGTGATGCAAATTCAAATGGACATAATCAAAAACTATGGATTCCCCGGCAATCGCGAAGGTTTGATACAATTTGAACAGTTGATTCGAGACTTGGAAAAGGATGACGCCGAAATAAGTCGACTTCGAGCTCAAATTCGTGCGATATACCTGCCACCGATTAGCATAAGTGCGGCGAAAGATGTTTTGATATGAAATGCCGGGTTTAAGTTAATAGAGAAACTATTCGAAAGAATTCCGAATATTCGATTAAGACCAAGAAACGACCATAGCCAACAGAAGACCGATTAACATAGTTTATTATAGCTGTTTTGTATGTGTTTCAAATAGTCAAGCGATTGCAATTCGATAAGAAAAATCCATAATACTAGTCAGCATGAAAATGATCGTGTCTAAGCTACAATGCGATACACATTGCATTAACAGAAGAGATTGTACGAAATTGTGTAATTTTCTTATGAAACCTCATCCATAACTTTAGAATTAAAGCCATTTTTTCATATACCAATAACTTAATAAAGATTCATAAGTTGAAAATAAGAAATGTTTCTTCCCTATTTATGAATACACGTATTTTCATTATCAGTGGAAATTTCCCGGAATTTGAACATTTTTAACTGTAGCATTGAATTGAGTCAACATATCTGTAATCTATTCTTCGCCAGAATTAATCTGTTTAAATAACAGCTGAAATTATTTTGTTGTTACTCATATGTGACATCTCATTAATGAAACACAATTCAAGTCTCCACTTGGTTTTGCATTCATCTAAAACCACAGAAAAAATGTCCGACAGATGTCACCCATGAGCCCTTTTATATGCAAACCAAAAAAAACCAAAAGAAAATCTAAATAAAGAAAAAAACTTCTTTTATTGAAACCAAATACTGTCTAACAATTGGATTGAAAGACGATACAGTGGTTTATTGCGTCTTATTTTAGAAAACGAATACACATTTTGAATGTTCATAAATTGTGTTTGTAATCGCGCCGTCATGGTTGCAATACAGTGTGACCAACGAAACGTACAAAATTCACGGAAAACATCTGACAGTACATAGGCAATAAACTTTAGTGGCATTCATTAGAAATCATTTTTGGATACAAAGAAAAAACCACAATTTTTCGACAATCAAAAACGCTCATTTGAACAAATTGTACGAAGTTACCTTGCATCTCGATTGACACGATTCGTTTTGTGTGACGAACAGTTTGGAAACAAGTTGTTCAGCTGTCTGTAAATACATTTGGCCAAAGTGAGTATTGAAAGCAATGACGGGAAAAAGTAAAATATTTAAGAAACTCCAGTTCGTATGTGACGTCACTTTCAAAGTCACTTAAAAATATGTCATTTTGAGTACTTCGGACAGAAAATTACACTTTATCGATCATCGATAGCTAGTTTTCAATTGTTTTTCCATTGTTTTAATGTTATTTCCGCAGGGAAATTTTGTGATTGAAACATGGACAATGATGGACTCGACGGCCTGTCACAAAACCAAACAGAAAAAGTATTACAATTCCAAGATTTGATTGGGATTGATGATATTATACAATGCCGCGACATATTGACACGACACCAATGGGATCTCGAGGTGGCAATTCAAGAGCAGCTGAATCTGCGTGAAGGACGACCCTCAATGTTCGCCTCATCAATAGAAAATAGAGAGCCACAAGTCATAAATGATCGTTACTTACAACGAATCTTTGTTAATAATCGTGAACCGGTTCCACCGCACGGCTTCACTGGAATCATAGGATTTATCTTTAATTATGTATTCAGCTTTTGTTACAGTACATTGTCGTCGATTCTGTCAGTGCTTCGTAATTTAGTGCGCGGCAATGAACGAAGTAAGTTGACAGTTGGAATAAGTGGTCATTGATTAAGTGACTTTTTATGTTGATTTCAAACTAATCACATGCAATTTTTCAGCGGTTGTTACAGATCCATTAGCCGACGTAATAAATTTTATTCGAGACTATAACGAGAAATATCCAAACCACCCTGTATTCTATCAAGGAACATACGCTCAGGTTTTGAACGATGCAAAACATGAATTGAAATTTTTGGCCGTTTACTTACATTCCGAAAGTAGTTCTGAAACGGTCAATTTCTGTCGAAACACATTGGCCGATCCAGAAGTTATTGAATATATTAGTAGCAATATGCTGTTTTGGGCATGTGACATCACGACACCCGAAGGTTACCGAGTGTCACATTCGATTAATACGCGATCCTATCCGGCAGTTGTTATCGTTGGCGTTCGAGAGCATAAGATGGTGATCATGGGACGAATGGAAGGTTTTTGCTCAGCACCCGAATTCGTTCGACGGCTGCAATCGGTTATCAATGACAACAAAATTTGGCTTACTCAAGAGAGACAAGAACGGTATGTACAGACCAAAGTGATGAGTATTTTGAATGACCAATCGAAATGATTGTGGTTTGATATTATTCATTAAGTTTGGACATAATAAAATAAAAATCCATTTCTTCTTTTCAGTTTTGAAAGGAAATTCGTGCAAGATCTCAGGCAGCAGCAAGATGAAGCTTACGAGCTGTCATTGAAGGCTGACCAAGAGAAGGAGCGATTGAAGCAATTGGAAAAAGAACGATTATTGCAAGAACAACAGCAAGAAGAAGCTGAACGTTTGGAAAAACAACGCCAGAAAGAGGTAAACTCCAATCAAATACTTACTATTTTATCTGTATTCGGCTGCTCATAACGGAAATGTCTAATTTTGTTTTCAGGATATTGCACGGCAGAAGATTGAACGAGCATTAGAAGTGCCAGCCGAACCGGATTCCGAAGACTCGGACGCCATACTATTGTTATTCATTCTACCCAATGGAGCACGCTTGGAACGAAGATTCCGTCGTTCGGACATGTTAAAAGTGAGCGATTCTTGCAAGAATATTGCGCAGATTATATTCATTTCTCATTTTCTGTAACAATTCGATACTATTAAATGTGTGCTTCTATTTCCAGGATTTGCACACGTACGTGTTTTGTCATCCGCAGTCACCGGATCAATTTGCGATAGCGACCAACTTCCCGAAACGAACGCTTGAAACGGAAACATCCGAAGTCCAAATCAATACAGCCGGCATAAATAATCGTGAAGTTCTTTACGTATATGATTTGGATGCATAAAATTCTAAAGTGGCCTATGAAAAACATTCAAGAACATTAAAAATTGAAATATGCACGGTTCTTGTAAATTCGGACACAAAGTGCTAGCCCTCCTCCATTTTCAGTTTTCATTTTTTCATAGTGCTTTTCGCTTTCATATTTGGTTATTGAATCAATTTCTACATCACCAACTGCGATTGAATCACATCGGCCAAAAGAAAACAAATGTCTCGAAACTTTGTGTCCCTGTTTCACCAAATCAAAAAAAAAATAAGTTCACCACAGAAACAAAAACGAATTACTTGTTGTGTTTGAATAGCGTCATCATTTTAGGGGTTTTCATCGCTCTGTTGATTGGAGCGACGAATTCCAAGCAATCTACTTTTCAACTTTCATTTGCAATAAATATTATTGATCTGTCTCACCATTCAAAACCTGCTATAAGCGACTATAAGTACGAGTACTTAGTCCACATGAACTAGTTTAATCGATAACAAACAAAAAACAGAACAACTCTCGTGAAAACAAATTGAAATATACCGTTGATCTATTGAAATGTTTTTTTACATATCTTTTATAAGATACAAGTTTGAATAGGAATGAGAAGATTGGAAGAATGAAGAAAAAAAAGGAATCAAATAAATGGAAATGCTTTATTTCACACCAACTATTTGCGGCTTTCTATTCTATTGCGTCATTTTGTAGCTTCGTTTCCAGTGCAAACAGGCATTTTAGAAGAAAATAGTGAACTCCATATCAACGCAAGCACGCATGATTACATCATCTGTACCTTCAATAGGTTTGCGAACCTGTCCATAAGTCAACGATTGTTCAATATTCTAAATTCTTGTTTTTATTTTCATAGGTTCAACTGTAATTTACCATGTGAATCATTCGATGGCGCGGATAGTCAACATCGTGAACCATAAAATTTGTCAAATATTCTGGCTTCAATTTCGCATTACTCAATTTGAAGTGCCCCTGTAAATTCAATTATATTCATCTCTATGGATTAACTTCTGGGAAAATGTTTGAAAATTTATTACACTTTGTTCGCCACATTTCGAATCACTATTCATGCCATCAGAAAGCATAAACCATGGACCAGATTCGTCTTTATGAAATCTCTCGCAATGTAATATTTCATAAAAGTGTTCTGGATTATCCGAGCATCTTCCACTTCCTTCTTTGCATCGCATCATCGTGATATTCATCTAGAAATTATTATTTTTTTGTTCAAAAATGTTTATAAGAATTTTGTTTAAGTTTTTTCTTCAACGTTTTTCCCTCTATTAGATAAAACGAATGCAGTATTTGTTGTAAAAACCAATATACCAATTTTTCTTGAGTGTTGACCGTTGGGATATAGTATTCTCCATGAACAGCATCGTATAGTCCATCGCTGTTTATTTCGTACGTAATATCAGTAAAGCGTACGTAATGTTCCAAATTTTCGCTTGGATCGAGAAAGTCACAGTTTCCAAAATTGGTAATATTCACTTTCTAAAATTTTCAAATGGATTTAATAAAGAATTTCAATGCAATTTTGTCCTTCACAAAATTTTTGAAATTAAGCACCATCTTTAATTCCAAAAATTTCATTTTTTGAATTGATATCGAATTCGAGAAATTCATACTAACAATAGAATTCACTGGACATGTTATTCCAAGTAAAACGGCGAGAAAACTTATTTGAAAAAAGGTCGTTGAAACCATCTTGGTGTTACACCTGGATATGACAGCACCAAATTCAATATTTGTATACCACTTTAAATCTACAAACCCAAATCGAATGCTCCCGTATCAAAACTAAAGTGAGCAAATCGTTGGTTGAGCTAGCCTTATATACACATGCTATTTGTGCAGTCCAATGTTATGGAAATAAGGTGTATCATTAATTCGGCTGACAATTGTCTGCTCAAGCAAAATGTTACTCGGAAATTATGATCATTAACAAAATATGCTAAATCTCACAACCTTTGCATTATTCTGCATTTTTTCTAACTGAATCACGTCATTAACTAATGTCAAGTTGGTAGTTGAATAAAAAAAAAAAAACTATAAAACAAATACATACATTTGTACGCGATTCATATTTTATTTTGCATTTTCTGTGAATAACAATTTTGGAAATATAATTTCCGATTTAGTTTCAGTTAATTTTGTTTTAATTTTCAAAAGATGGCTTCGACATTGCATTCAACGAACACAATAAAATGAATTGTACAATACACAATATTTAGCGTCAAACGTCGTAATAACAAATTCCGGCGCCGACAAATGAAATCAGCTTGCAAATGTCCCACTGTCAATAGATATATTCGTTGTAGACACATCAATTAAACTAATAGCTATCCGTTTTTATTTACACAGAGATTTTCGAAGCGTTGCAGTTTCGTTTTAATAGATATTACATGCAGTTTTCTTTTCTGGATGGTTATTGCCGTGACTAAAACAATTGAAAACAGGGCCATCATTATATGCTTTTTTTCTAAATAAGCAGTTTTTATTTTTTGTACATTTAAAATGTGGTGGTAATATTTACTGTCGCATTTATAAAAGCATCGAGTGTGGGTTTTCTAAGAACTTCTGGAACCATTGTAACCAACGAGCACCCACTGCACCATCGACTGTGCGATGATCACAGCTTAATGTTACTGAAATGAAATCGCTTTGTTTGAATCCTTTCTCCGAATCTTTGTCTGGCACGATTCTTTGTTGCGTTCCACCAACGGCCAAAATACACGATTGTGGTGGATTGATGACAGCACAGAAGTGTGTAACGCCTGAAAACAAACCGGAAGAATAGTATCATTATTAAGATTTCAATAAAAATCATTCAGTACCAATTCCAATTGTTCAACAAAGACAACTTTTGTCACTTACCAAACATTCCAAGGTTTGATACGGTGATGGTACCGCCTTGGAATTCATGGGGTTGCAATTTTCCGTCACGAGCCTTGGCAGCCAGCTCTTTAATAGCTTTGTTAATCTCAATTAAACCTTTGCGGTCAGCTTGTGAGACGATTGGTGTAATCAAACCCTTGTCAGTTGCAACAGCAACCGAACATTCGACAGAATCGTATCTAAACATTGAAGAGAAAATAAATTATTTTTCCCATGTACAAGAGTGTTTGCTCAATATTCAGTGGCATTACTGTCGAATGAAGCTGCCGTGCCATGATGAGTTGGCTTCAGGTACTTTCTTTGATGCTAAAGCGGTGGCCTTAACAACAAAGTCGTTGAATGACAATTTAACACCTTCCTTTTCTAATTGCTTGTTGAATTCTGCACGGACTTTTGACAACTAAGAAAAAAAAAAGACAATTTGGTATTGGTAACTCGTTTTCGCACTCATTTCACTTATATAAAATAACTTACATTATCCACATTGATGTCAACAGTTAAGTAGTAATGTGGGATTGTGACTTTCGATTCCAACAAACGTTTGGCAATAACGGTGCGTGTGTTTGAAACTGGAATATCAATGTAAGCAGCACCTGCGGGAATCGAGGCTGGAGCTGGAGCAGAAGCAGCTCCACTTGACAATGATCCAAGATCTTTACTTGTGATTGATCCATAGGCACCGCTACCTTGGCCTTCCAAGCGCAATGATTGTGCTTCGGCCAACCGTTTTGCCATGGGACTAGCATAGACTCGTGGGCCACGTTGTTCGACAGCAGTCATTGGGCGTGGAGCGGATGGTGCCACTGGGGCAGCAACGATTGGTGGTGGTGTTGGCGTTGGTGGTGCGGCAGCTGCTGGTGCTGGAGCAGCGGCTGGAGCGGCAGCAGGAGCACCTAGATAATTATCAAAAATTACAACCCAAATTAAAACCAATTCACAAATAATGTCGAATGGTTCACATTGTTTGTACCGGTATCTTTGAAGTCTTTGAATGCAGCGACATCGGCTTCATTTTCAACGATAATACACACTAATTTGCCGATGGGTACATCTTTTTGGCCGGCTTCTATGAGAATTTTGGCCAAGTATCCTTCTTCAGGTGTTTCGAAGCCCATTGTCGCTTTATCGGTTTCGATTTCCGCCAACAAATCACCTGTTTTGAGAATCCATACAAAAACACGCATTCGCATTACGTAATGACATGAGATAATTGGTTAAATGTTTTCATTAAGTAACTCGCTTCGTTTACATATCGCACGACTCTATGGTCCGATAAGCGAACGAAAAGCACGCATCGTGTTATTTTTACACGCACGTCTTATCAACTTTTCGGTTATAGTATACATTGATCAGCGTTATTGAGTGATTGCCAAGGACTTATGCCGTTTACGTACCTTCATTCAATTTGTCGCCTACTTTCTTCTCCCAGCTCACAATTGTGCCTAATTCCATGGTCGGTGACAATGCCGGCAATGTAACTCGGGTGTGCGGTGGGAGATTGCTGCAGTAGCCACGGCAAAAATTCACCTTCCATACTGATGGCTGCAGATTCCGACTTTGACTTATGCTTGAAGCGGCTCTGCGAAATACAATTTAAATGAAACACACATCATTCACGAAATCAAACATAGGCGAACACATACGCTTATAAATTCTAAGCTGATAAGAATGTGCGGCAAAATGATTTACGTAATCACTTATTGTTCCAAGGTGAAATATGAATGACTCGCGTGCAAAGTGCTGACCGAGTGAATGACTGCGATATTGAAATTGTGTTAGCAAATCGATCATAACGAGAACATAAAGAATATAGTGTTAGATGATGTGAGATGCTATAAATGGCCGATTAATTGATAATATATGGCTTCTATGGAAATGAAACGGGGCTGGGCTATAGGAAAACCTATCACATGAATCACGCATATTTTATCGTAGTTTGCCAAGAGTTTTAGCAAGCTGAGAAATACTGTCAATCTCTCTCTTTCCCTGAGAACTCTTTTTTTCATATCGCATTGAATCGATTGGATTATGAGTTCGGTTTTATATGTGACCGATTATTTATTCGCTAAAAATGGGTATGACAACTCAAATGTTCAATTGACAGAGTGGATCACATGCGGTTAGACGTCAACGATTCACAGTTCCTTAACATGATTTACGTCATCAATAGATAAACAACAACAAATTGCCAACAAAATGTAAGAAACTAACACATGAGTTGGCGATTCAATTTATACGGGGATTAAAACCATGCCATTCATTATCATTCAATATGTCAATTCGGCTCTCTCTTTGCTTATATATACATACACATTGTATATAATGCAAAATAGCACGACAATTTCTGACGTTTACACACTGCACTGCTGATTATGATTACACAACCACACATAACCTCAAAGCTATGCAATTTTTTTCTCAATGAAAATTTTCCAATCGACCAAATAGATATCGATTGAGGCAGATGAAAACTATTTTTTTCTTGACTCTTGTCAATGCTCACCTGTGCGATGTGAATTTTTCGGCACAGCGATAGCTCAAACAACGAACGGCATTCAGTTTGGTGACTTTTTTCAATGAGCCACGGAGAAGATTTTCGTTTCGTGCAACAATTGTTCGCAACATTTTTACGGCTGAATTGTTCTGTTATCGACAGAATCAAAAGTCAATTGTGTTCAAATGTTTTCTTCGCTGCGTATATCAAATACACGGAATTTATGTTGGAATTCAAAACGTTTGAATTCTGCGAAAAAATAACAAAACTTTACGAGCTGCCTGCCAAAAGCAGTGTGTTTGTAGCGACCTTACTACTGTCTGGTTAGGTCAAACAAATGCAAATTTTCGTTCTGATTCGATTTTTTCTCTTGCTCAGCCACTTGTCAATTTCAATACGGTGTGTCCAGATTTCAACTGTCACTGTCTATATATAATGACAGTTTGAATGGGTCGTCCCAAGCAGCAGAATCGCATCGACTCGAACATTGTTTTTTGTGAATGGGATAAAGCCATTGTGAATGGTTCACATTATTGTTTTTTTTTTCGTGTGTCGCATGGTTGAGATTAAGATCAAGGCAATTTGGTTGTGATAAAATTGACGAGAATATTTTTTTTCCTTATCATGCGAGGTAGCATTTTTTTTTCTTCCCACGAAATCTCAGAATAATCTGTATTTGCTTGGGATCAACTTCTTATTCGTAGTTTAAGCAAAGGATTGTTTGGAATTCGGTGAAATCCCATGAAAAACCGCTTATACGTGATAATTCACATTTCATCTTCTTTTGAACTAAAATGTTATATTGAAATAGATAAGAATCAAAAGTCGCCGAATGCTCAACATTTTATCAGAAATATATTTAGAATGTCAAGTGGTCTCATTCATAAAACGAAATCTTTATAGCAGTCGATAAATAGTCTTCCATTTGCAAATAGAAACAAAATGCGGCTTTGAAATAAAGGTGACCGTTTTCGGCCAATTATTTCGTTCAGAATGGAAGAAAAATACTCTTTCGATAAAATGTTTTGCTTCCATTGTTGTCTTGTTCCATTGCTATTTTTTTCTCTCATCGGAGCAGTTTATTGGTTCGAAAATTCGAGCGCCGCAAAAATAACATTTTTCATTTATCATCACAAATTGAATTGTGGTAGGTTTTTAAAAAACCTTTATTGACTTTGGCTTTTTTGTTATCTTCCACCTTTTCCCACTTGTATTGTTTTTGTGTTCATAGGACAATCTGAAAAACCATAAACACCATAAACCATAATCGACGTGTTAAAATGTGTTGCATAACAAGTGGTTGAACGCTGGTTTTTTTTTCGTTTCTTTCACATCAACACCAAAAACAGAACATTTTATGGCCTTTACTATAATGGAAAACAGAGTGCGCCTCGAGGAAGTCATCATTTCATTTTCGGACAAATTTTCAACACACAACGCACACACAAACTGCAAATGAATAGAAATATAAACAATAAAAAACCCTCCGAAAAGATGAAGAGAACAAATCGCTTGAAAACCAAAACAAACCGAAAAATAAAAATTAAAAATACAGGCGCTAATACTGCTGCACCAACTGCCAACTTGCAAGCCAACAGTTCAAACGTTAACTCGCTTCTGCACATTAGGCGATTCGGCATTTCACCTTTTTCGTATTGTTTTATCTTTTGATTTGCCTCAAAGGATAATTATGATGGTAACTTGTATGATTTTCGAATCGTATATTTTGCGGCCGGCCCACTTGAATGCACCTAACATTTAAAGAAAAAAAAAAACATAACAAAAAAAAAACTGAGGAAGCAATTCAGTTGTCTTAACACTTATCTGAAATTTTGGCCCGCAACACAGAAGAAAAAAGGGGAAATAAAAACATAGTGAGAAAAAAAAACGGGTCTCAGCACTTAACCGAATATTCCTTTCATTAGAAATGGATTGATGCAGTTTCATTGAACAGAACCAGGAAGAATATGATCGAAAAAAAAATATAATTCTGCAACAACACGTATTTACGAGCCGTGAATGCCATAAAGACTGCATAATGTTTCGATAATGGCAAAAGTTATCGCGGTAATTTTTCAATAAGTTGTCGTTTTGAGCAAAGCATACAGCGTTGATTAGTAAAAACAAGAAGCCTGTAGCGAAATTCCCATGCCATGGAGAGTCAGAAGAAGAAGAAGAAGAAGAAGCATTCTTGCCTTCAACTTGATTGCTGCACCACCGTAGTCGATAGATTTTTCATTACCACTATATCCGATCGATTGACTAATTTATTTTCAATAAAAAAAGAGATAGAGAGCCGATGACGATGACGACAAAGAGAGGTAAACAAATGATAGAACGCTATTCGCTAACAAGTTTGTGTGAAATGGTCGGGCATGGAGTCGCATAAAACTTTTTAAGGTCTTTGTTTCATGGTGTTCAATGCGTTTCGATTTGATTGTGTGATATACAAGTAATTTTCTATCGTTTATGTGGCTCTTTATATATCTAGTTGCGTTTCGGGTCGTGTAGTCTGTGTGTGGTGATGATGAGTCTATTGGACGTTTTGTCGGTGTACGCGCGCGCTCGCGTTGACTTTCGGCAAATGTTCGAGATCTCCACACAAATTGGTGTGTATGGTGTATGCGCACGTCACATCACACAGGCGGTGACATCAAGAAAACCAACATGAATGGAAAAACGAACGAAAAATAAAATTGATGATTGAGAATGAATTGTGTAGACCGCGTCATCGCTGACACAAATACACATGCACACGAAAAGTGACTAACTGACTGACTTGAAGTATTGGAAAATTTCATTTTATCGCATTTTATCTCTAGCTATTGTGTGTCTTTTTCCTCTCAATTCGTCTGTTTATTGTGGATCATGAGCGCTTTTCGTTTGTCTTGAGTTCGTGAGAAGGGAACGCATGGATTGTGTTTGATTCTCTGCTCTTTTTTTTCGCTGTTCGTTTCGTTGCTTTGCTTTCATTGATTCACGATCATTGATAAGTTCACCGCATATTATTGGAAGAGAGGTAATATTCAATACTTCAATTAAGGTGGGGTTTTCTGTGCACTGCGAGTGGAATGAAGCACAAAATCTGTTTTTCGCTTTGTACCGGAAAAAAGAATAAGAAGAAGGCATGACAAAAGACTCTCGGCACTCGAAAACAATAGCAAGCAATATTGCACGTGAAAAATCACAAGAATGCCCATATTTATTTTATATCTTAATACGTATTGTATATTCTTTTTGTAAATACTAACTCACTAATAAATATTCATTGTTGCCATTTCGGGCCCATTGCACACGCAACCCGAACCAATGGAATGAATAAATTAATGAATTCCATCTCGCAAACAAGTACATCCAGGGCATCTTGCGAGAGGGAATCAGCCAATGCGACCAATGCTTCGATGTAATTTTCGAGTGCAAATACTTTGCACAACGGCAACAACAACAACCACAGTAACAGCGACAAACCGAAACACGGGCAACGCAACGAAAGACAACCGCTCGCCATGGATCGCAAAAGTTACAAAATTGAGAGCTGAAAATTTCTAAATGCTGAAGCAATAAGTTCATAACTCCGCCTTGCCACAGCAATTTAACGTTAAACAACTACTGTTCAATTCCCACGGTTACGGTTGATAGTTGTTGTTTTTTTTTCTTCTTCTTCTTCTCCTTCTTCGCGGCTTTGGAACGCAACAACACACAACGAACGTACAAATATAACAATAATAAGTAATATCTCACGCTAGTTCGCTTTAAAATCACATTCCAACAAAAGAGCGTACGTGAATTCATGCAATATGTGTGCTGTTGGTTGTGTGTACGACTTCTTTAATCCGTAAGATCGATCGCGCTCTTTTCACATTTTGACTTTACATTATTTGCCGCAGGCGCTGTGTAATTCTCATATTCATTTTTTTTTCTGTTCGCTTTACCGCTGATATGTATGTTTCTTGTTCGGCTCGCATCGCGCACTCTCTGTATCTCACTCTGTCTGTTGCTCTCAGTCGGTTGGTCGTTCCAGTATGTTTACTTGTACTTTGTGACCAAAATGCGCTATTTTCTTTTGTGCTTCTCTCTCTGGAAATATGATTTTTCGACTATTATATTATTATTGTCGATACAGATATGTGAGTGCTGTATGGCGAAGCGCAGTACCCGCTCACACACCAATTCGACTGAACAGCGCGACGAGCGCACGAGAGAGAAAGAGAGAGAGAGAGAAAGATGGAGAGATGCATAATCATATTCGGTGGATTTTTGTCGTATTCATTACATACATATTACTTTTCTGTTAAACCACTTTTCGTCTTATTTATTTTTCTTTTGTTCTGTCTCATTTCATTTATTCCTTCGTTATTTTCATATTTTCTCATTTTCAAAATAAAATAATAATCAAGAGTAATGGACTCGTTGCGTTGTGCTGTTTATGCATGATTCTGGTAAATGCATCAGAGGAAGAGGGAAAAAAATTGTACGCCATACGAACGAAGCTGAGACAACGATTTTAATTTCGTTGATTGCGACTTATATGTGAGAAAGTAGCTCTAAGAGCTTTGCGGCCAATTTGATGATTATCAGTTCTGTTTGTATTCACGAAGCATTTTCTTTTCGGAATATATTTTGATCTCGAAAATCGAATTACTTCTTAAATAAATATTCTGATCTTCGGTGAGTCAATAGATGGGCAATAATGACTTTCTCCCACGGAAATCTGTCTCAATCTAATACGATTAAGAGATCAACTACTTTTTTTTTTTCCTCTGAGATGCGTTTAACTCAAACATTTTATGGTAATTGTTGGTGTAGTATATCATAAAATACAACGCAGAAAAATACGTAATGTATCACAAAGTTTTCCATTCGTCTTCCATTGTCATTATTCTTTATCGAAAAGCGTCTGCAAAAAGAAATCTCGGAACGAAAGCGTCTCAAGTGTGTGATTCATTTAGTTTTTTATGACATCTGCATGCTTTAATCCGAACGCGATGGATTTAGTGTGAACGTATTCGATAAAAGTAAAAATTTTTTTTAATCTCTGTTTCAGTTTTATTGTGCGAGAAAAGGGATAAAGCTAAACTGATGTCAATTAAGTGAGAAAATTTTTGAAAATTCCGTCATAAAGTTTATTGCAGTAGCCGAGTCGATCATTGTGTTTGATCAACGATTTTCGAAATGGGCAAATTGCCTTGGCTTAGTTGTGATCGAGAAGAAGCGCTTTTTTTGTTTTAATTAGTCCTTCTTAAGTTGGCGCTTTTCGGTGAAGATGTGAAGCTCATTTTGTGATCTGATATCACTAATTTTGCACTTTTGTCGCTACTTCTTTGACTTCTTATTTCTTTAGATCAGCATCACTGTGTGTATATCTATATGGATATTTTGAATTGTCTACTAGAAGTCATCGCAACGATTATTATGCATACAGATTATCATAATTAAGCATCGACAAACTTCTGCACGTTCGCGTCAAGATTGTGTGACAATGTGTCTGTGTGTGAGTGTGTTCTGTTTTTGTTGTTCGCGACGCACTACAAACCCAACAAGTTTATTATCCGTTCCTATTTGCTTGGATTCATTTCTACAAGAGCCATTCAAAGACGGGTCATCATCAATCTTCCATTTATGATTAAATAGCTTTTTGTTTCTATCAAAAGATGCGTGCTACTTATTCTGCGGTTCGATTATCTACATCGATCTATCTACTGGACCAGAGAAACAAACTGAGAATGAGAGAGAAAATGTCCACGCCTTGCTATGGCAATAATCATAAAATCGTAAAGGAATAAAACTGGTCATTATAAATGATTGTAGTCAAATAAATAATAAGTCGTTCTTTTTTTGTGTTTGTCTTTAATCTTGAAATTGGTGTGTTTCAGTTTGGCGTTACAGTAAAAAAATGCCGACACTAAAAAGCTGATGAACATGTGTATTGATGATTAAAATCAAAGAGAGAGAGAGCGAGAGAGAGAGAGAGAGAGAGAGAGAGAGAAAGAGAGATAGCAAAGCCAACGAGTGCTGTTCGCTCTTGTACAAGAAGAGGCAGCCAATTGTGACCAAAGTTGGGATGGCACATCGTATTACAAAACAATCAACAGTCACAGAATGTTCAAGTTGAAACGAAATATTTTCATTTTAATTGTGTGTATGTGTGGGGGACACATCGATGAGTTGATGGAGTTTTATATGTTGTTTTAACTGCGAAATGCGATACACTACAACTCGAACTAAAACACTATATTTTCATGTTATTATTTATGAGCGCGCGCTGTGTGTGTGTGTGCTGGGCTGCGATCTTTTACGGAAGATATTAATCAAAAAAATTCCAAAAACTGTCATCGGTTACTGAATATCAAGTTCATCATGCACGGCGATGCTATTTTTATTTCATTCCAGCCATGGAATGAATGGGCATGTCTTGAACATGAACGATATATAGAAAGCTACACCAATTTATTATATTGAACAGTGTGTTTTTTTCCGGGCAGAGCTTGGTTTACCCTTTTCTGCGCGTTGTTTCGATCGCAAAGGATTCGTTAAATTTGGACAACGATATAAAGAATGACCATTGTCATTAAATAGATATAATATTGGCTTTAATTTGATGTATGCTCTATGGATAATATGCGCCAACGACAGTCACATTCACAGCACGCTTCAATCTGCAAAAAAAAGGCGAACAAAATGTGTCTTATTTATGTCTATAATATGCAATTTTTTTTTCAATAATGCGGTATGCTTGCTTAAAAGCCAAACGAAAAAAAAAATCACACAATCATTTCTTTTGTTTGCTTCTTTTCTTTAATAAAGACCGAAGAGACGAAATGCAAACAACGAATTTGTGTCTCATGATCATCGCGATGTCTGAATGAACCCATGAGAACGATACGACAAATAAATATAAAAAAATTAACATGCTGATTATCGTTATTCGATCATTCCTTCTTTGCTGCGGTTCTGTGTTCTTTCTCTCACTGTGTGTGTGTGAGTGTGTGTTGTTGTTGTATTCATTCGAGAGATATTCTCGGATTTGGAGCTTATTAAAAATATTATGAATGTAGATATTGTTAATTTGTTAATAATTTATTTCGGTATTCTCGGTTAAATTCATAATTAATTATTCAGCTCCTTTTTTGTGTGCTGTTCTCCCCTCTTTGCGCCACGCATTTCGGCTTCGTGCTGCTGTGGCTGTTGCTATCGTTGTGCTTGACATTTGAAACCCTTGTTCGCCCAAACAGACATTTCGCTGAACCGATAAAACTTCTGTTTGATTGAAAATCACTCTTGTAAACAGACCCAATAAAAAGCATTTGAAAGTTAATTACTTGTGTGGTGAAACGGTGATGTATTTTATATAATTCGAAATGAAAAATAATCCAAAAACAAAAGCAACTTGCTTGGTTGGACTTTCCTTTATGCGCACACAGTGATCACACTGTAAAAGAGCAAATTATATTCTCTCTTTTCTTCTGAATGAATGTTGTTTAATCAAAAGCGTTGGTTAAATTTCAGCAGGGGATCTTTTTGGAAAAGCCGCCTCTTAAGCATCTAGATACATACGGTCGTTCATCGTCAACGGTGTTGCTGTGTGTATTTTTTTTTCGCTGTTCATTTGTTCTCTACTATTATCCTATAGCATCGAGCTTAATTTGCCTTTTCTTTCCACATCTCACTTTTTTCTCTTCGATCGTCCAAAACTGTTTACAGATATTTATTGCGATTGTCGATTGAAGTCGTTACTTTTTTCCCGTTGGTTTTTTTTTTCGCTCATTCTTTACCACTTTGGCAGCAAGTGAAATTTGACCAAGGTTTTCAAGCTCATTTATACAAATCTTCGACATATCCATTTTTCTGCATTCTGTTTCGTATCAGAGTGAAAATTAATGGAAGGAAACAGGGAAAAAATGCATACGTATATGCATATGCTGAAACGTGAATGCGCATGAATCATAATTTACAAAAATTGGAAGCTAAAAACAAGTCAATCTAAGCATAAAACATGTGTAATACACACGTTCGTTTCAATTCTTTTTTCCGTCGTTTTCTCGTGTAATGATTTCAACTTCATTCATATCGCAATGTGATTGAGGTTTTAAATTAAATTATGATTTAGGTTTCGTTGTTTTGTTGTTTGTTTCCAGCACAAAAATGCATGCTTAATTACAGCATCGTATATAAATTGAAATGTTCTGAAAAGGCGAAGGGAATTTCATTAACAATAAAATATTATCGTCTTAATGAAGGCAGACCGTACGTCAATTTTTCTAATGAAGCGCATGGCGAGCACTCATTCGTTCGTTCGTTCGTATAAAGTTCATTCACGAATACCGTGTGGCTGGAAAGTACACGCATATGGGTTGTACGTAATTTAGTAGTCAAAAAATTCTGGAATTCCATGTATGATCAACACAAGTGATCAAGAAATGTGTATATAACAGCCAAACAAATACATTGAAAGCGGTTGAAATGCGCCAGTAAAGCACCGAAGATAAACTATAAAGTTAAATAGATATTTTCATCGTGTATTTTGTTAGCTGTTGTTGTTGTTGTTGCTGTATTTTTTCTTCTTACTGGTGTAGCTGCTCAGTGTTTGCAGCTCAGCAATTTATTTAGGTGGAGTCAAGCCGCATGCAGGCACACTGATCACACGTTATCTAAACGCATGGATCAATTCGATTCATTTAGGTGTTTCAACTTGCTGGGTGCTGCTTGGTGTTCTGCTGTATGTGTGTGTGTGCTGTGTGCGGATGCATGAAGCGAATGGGGCGGAGTTTGTCGCTAGCGCATTCGCTGCTCTTCACCAACTACTTCATCGGCAGCTGAGCTACACGTCACAAATGTTACCATTAATCCATTGAGATTGCATGCGTGCTATAAATGGTAAAAACTCATACAGCCGAATGCATTCCGTTTCGTATCTATGTGAACTTGTTCTGGCTCTACATAAATTCTCTCTCGATTGCAAATAACAACGAAACGAATCCACGGCACAGAAACAGCAACAACAATAACAACAACAAAGAAACGTATAAAGAGACAACCGAGGAAGAGAAGAGAGAAGAGACAGAATGAACGAACGAACGAACGAACCGAGAAGAAAAAAACAATTGAACGAACGAAAACCGAATAAAACAAATAAAAACGTTCATTTGGTGGGGATATACCAAACATACACAATACACATATTTCAAAGCGACATCGTATAAAGTGAAACAAATGAAATAGACAACGACAACGCACACAAGATGAAAGAGAAAAAATCGTCAGGGGTCTTCGGGCTACGAGAAGCTCACATTTCACATAGTGCGCTACTTGTGATCGCTTTTTATTCATATTTCGTTTACGAACCATAATCGTCTCTTTATATATATATACTATACGACTACGACGAAGACGACGACGGCAACGACGACGAATGCGAGAGATATACATACATGGGTTTTTATATGCGTGGAAAGTGCTCTCTTACCGTTGTCGCTGCCGCACTGTTGTGTGCCACGGCTGCTGCTGTTGTTTAAAACACAGTAGAACGTTCAGCAGTTTCCAGTTCGGCTACTTGCCAGAAAGTCTTGACTTCTGTTACCAACAACTCACCATTCATTCATTCCACATCTAGCGAGCGCACTAGCGAGCGAACCCGAAGTTTTGTGGTAGCCTGTCCGTGTTATATTCATTGTTGTTGTTGTTATTGGACTTTATTTTTTTTTTATTAAATTATATTTTGGTCGATCTTACGTTTCACCAGTGTGAGCAGTAGTTAATTGTGCACAGAAGCGTTCGGAAGTTCAGTTTATTCGCCTGTTTTCGAACATTTAAAATATTAATGATAAATAATTCATCGATCGCGCGAATATTTGTTGGAAAATTATTTAAATAAATTGATTTTTTTCTGACGTCGAAAAGTGTTCATCGGATTTTATTTTTCAACTTTGCCTAACTGCGCAATATTAATTTCCACGTTTTCCTGAGAAAAACTAATCCACAAATTTTTGATGTAAGTACACATTTCGTTCATTTTTTTATGGTAGAAAAATAGCAGACAAATTATTTTATTGGATTTTTGTGATTGGTTTTAAGGGCTTTTAACTCGAAAAAAGTGTGTTTTAAATCTCAACTCATTTTATTTGGTAATTCTTCCACTCCACTTGTGCTTTTATTGATTTACTGGAAAAAAAAATTAAAAATAGAATTTTGCACAAAGTCGCGCATAATTTCATAAATGTTTTTTTTCCTGCGAAATAGTTTGGACATACCGAACTGAAAATTTTCTTGCTCTCGTCGGCCACACGTAGTAATAGCTAATAGACGACTTTCCTTTCGAAATTTCAACAAATTTTTTGTGGAAACTGTGTGAATGCAATAAATGCTGGCACATTTAATTTCAACATAAATGAATATTTAACTAATTTGCCGGTAACTCTTCCCTATGCGATCGTATCTACTTCTATGTGCAAAAATCGATATTCGTCACAGTAGCAAACAGTCTATGAGCGCTTTTCGCGCACAAAAACTGTGATGTATGACAACGAGATCGTATTGATCATAATCGAAATTATTTTAATCATGCGGTTGGCGATAAACATCGCATAAAGTTTCATCATGCGGTTTTCACATTTCTAAAATACTTTCATCGCATAAAATAGTTGATGACTCACTTAAAATTTATTGGCCCATACGGTCTACGTTCCATTTGATATAACATTCAAATTTTTGTGAAAGGCGAAACTAAGCTATAAACATGCGACGATTATTCATGCAAAATCATATCGAAACTATTCCATTTTTCTAACGTTTCCAAAATGATGATGCCTAATGAATAACATTGGTAGATAAACGTGGCAAACCCTATGCAAACGACTTGAAAAAGACACACACGTTAAAAGCTACTGTGAATATTTAAGCCAATCAAATGTTAAGTCGATATCAACAGCAAGAATACAATAAAGTTTCTGTTCACCTTTTTGTTCACGTGTATTTTTTCGCCCAAATAAGGTGCTACCGTTTCGCTCGTACCGCCCTTGATACTTCAGTGTAGAGTCAATAGCGTATTGAAATGTGCCGTCGCAATGCGCAACTCATGCATGATTCGTTCTTCACTCCATTGTTTGCGTTGAACGAAACACACATTCACGACGTTGAAACACGCATAGTTCTTCAGCTCGAATCGTTAATACTGAAACAGAAATCTTTTTCATTTCAATGTGGATTTCTTCAAGGAAATATGTTCAGCTCGAAAAAAAAAATCCAGAAGCTTTTCAAAATTATCTTCGGCGCCTCTTCATTCTAATTAGAAGATTGCATTTAATTTCATAATATGCGATCACTTTGCTGCACGACAATGTTTCAGGCGCTTCGTCGCTGCAAAAACATTTTCTGCATCACACTTCATCGAGTTCTCTTTTCAATGCAACGCTTTTCCAACAATGTAACAAATTATAATGAAAACACCGGCGCTGCTGCTCACTTTACCTTATGTTGTTACAACATAATAATCTAATGTTTCGTGTTGCTGATTGGCGGCACGTTCCGTAGACTCTCCACACACACACTTTTTCCACACTATTCGTTTTACCATCAAGTATGATTGTTCTTTTTATTCGTTCGTTCATTCTGTTCCGTCGTGTAATTCAAGCCAGTGGGTCTGATACACACACACCGGAACATATTCAAGCACAGAAGCATTGCGTTGCAGTAATTGAGGCGATAACGTGCTTGTAATAAAATCCATTATGAAGTTTCCAGTATGTGGTAATTGTTTGGACGGTGGGTTTTCGTTCTTGTTTTATTTATTTTTTGTTCAATTTTGTTTCGTTCTTACTGCCTTCATTTTGCCGGCTCGTTTTTTTGTATATTTCCATGCCACACATACACAAAATTGCCGATGCTTGAAGCCACCAAAGCACACGATCAATACGAAAAGAGACGGAACGCTAGTCACTGAAGTGTGCTCAACAAGAGTGTGTAACGCTTAATTTATGTTTACACACACAATACATACCCATATTTCGACGACGAACAGTTTTCAAACACACACTGGCTACCAGTGTTACATCGATCAACTGGACGCCACGATCAACGGCAACTCGTTGTTTGCTTGGGCGATTTGAACTCTGCATTGAGAATGCGCACGTGAAAAACAAACGGATCGTTCAATAAAATTGCGCATGCCAAAAGCCAAATCATGTTTTAAATTACCAAAATCGACTGATTAACCGTTTCGGTTTGATTTTTAGTATTGAATTTTATTTGGAGCTCAATTTCACGTTTCTATAAAAAAAAATTCTATTTCAAATTCTTATGAAATTCTATGATGATCGTTTGCAACCCACACAACAATCGAAGATGCATGTCACACCGAGACTCGTTCCGCTGTTGTTTTTAATTTATTAGTAAACAATAGTGTGGACGACTTTTTGAAATAAGCAGAAAGGCAATCAAAACCATACGCCATCGAAAATTCAGTTCAAATCTGAAGAGAAATGAAAACGACACACACTTGAAACATGCCGATCATTTGCGATCGATGTGCCTCACGGCGGCGCATAACACATTGAGTCACACACAGTGGTACTTAATTACTGATTGTGTCCCGGTATCATTCGCTTTATTCTCTTTCTCCCAATTTTATTTGACCAAAGACAAAAAAAAAAAAACAATATTTTATTCTTTTATTTTGTGCTTCCCATCGCGTTAAAACAACCGAAAGCCCCAACACAGAGAGAGAAACAAAAAAAGCGCGTCTTCAAATTGGGAAGCGTATTTTTCTTTTGGAATATCATAAATATTTATTGCTCTCAAAACAACGTTCGTATATGAATCCACTTTTATTAGCAATAAAATTTGATTTATTAATCGGTTTTTCATATTTGAATGAATTTGGTGAATTGATTTCGTCTACTCAAAATGAGAGCTGCACAAAGCGAAACCAACGTGTGTTTTCCCGTCTTTGTTCCTATTCACGGTGAGGCGCTAGTTTCATAGATTTTCGATTGCGCTTGTTTGTTCTTTTTGTTGTACCGATTATGTTGTTGAAAAACGATGATGTTGCAGCGACAATAAATACAAACACACACTCTCTCCCTGTGTCTCTCTATCGCTGTCTCTCTCGGGGCGACAGGGTTCGGTGCAACAGAAACAGGGAGATCAATGGTGCAGTGACATTGGAATGCGCCGAAGTGAATAGTGCGGTCAACAGATAACAATATGCATATATGCGAGTAATTCGATACAAGTGATCGTGTGTGTCTGCGCCTTCATGTTAGAGCCTAGCGCAACCAGTCAGCGCGCAAGCACACACGACACAGTATAGTTTTGGGTCATTTTCGAATCCACAGTGGGTATCCACATTCTTTGATTTCGTGATATTATATCATTTTGTCAAAGGCACGGCCAATATCGTATGCAGCGGGCTCGCGCACGCCTGATTTTTTGTGTGGTGTGTCTCGCACCAGCGAGAATGCGCATACGCCAAACATATTCCGAATATTATGTGTTGTATTCAAATTTACGGGCCGAGATCAATGTTATAGATAGCATAAATATGATTGGTATTTTTTCGTTATAGTTCTGCGATCATTGCGATTCTATTGCCGTTTTTTTTTCCCTTGACTCATTCATTCTCCGGTGACTCCAGAACATTTCTAAAACAACGATCGAAAAAACAACGGGAAGAGCTGAGACCAGAGAAGAAGAAGAAAAAAAAAAACGTCGACTGCAAAGCAAATTAATGTGAAAAGGGTGGACCGACGTGGCCAAATTCTTGGAAACTTTCCGACGATTTGAAGTACGAAATATGATTTGTCGCTATCGCATTGCGCACACCAATGATTGAACGATTTTATTTGGAATACTGAACACACGTCGTCGTCGTCGTCGTCGTCGTCGTCGTCGTCGTCGTCATCGTCGTCGTCATCTTCGCACGATTTGGTTGCATTTTTGGGATTCCGTCACAGACGACGCATTGTGCATGCATGGAAAAAATAAATAGCCAAACGAAAAGTATAACAAAAAAAAAGATGAAAAAGAAGATTCAACTGCATCGTCAAATGCTTCTTTCCTTTAAATTTCATATCTATTACTATAATCAATGTGTCGAAATCCGGCTGGACTCGCTAATTTTACCGGAGTGAGAGGAAGATTCCATGGCAGGTCCAAATGCGAATGAAACAAATAACCAAAAATTCGGTTGGAAAATTCAACAATATCTATCATTAATGTGATTATCGAAGGAAGAGATGAAAACGAAATATTGAGAACTAAAGCGATCTCGACTCGACTTTGATGGTTGGTATGTGTGTGTGTATTCGGACAGCGCATCCTCTATTCGATGCCGTCGCATCCAGCAAAACCGTACGCACCATTAGTTAGGAGGATTATGTCTTACGCTTTGGCATTTCTGTTGTTTAGTCAACGCATACCTACGGACAATTATATGAATTTCCTTTTTTTGTGAAAATAAATATTGCTCACACAAACTTCGTGCAAATGAATGTATCTTCAATGCGTGCGTACCTTTCTCCCCTGACTGCATTTTGACTCTATTTGACGAGTTTTGTGCATTTGTTCGTAGTTCGTTTGTTCTTAAAGTCGTTGTTGCTGTTGCCCATTTTCATGTTTCGGCCGTTGTTGATCAGTCTTAAAGAGCTCCCGTTGACACGGCAACAATTAGGCGTGAATTGATGTAGGTTCATGTGTCTTGTTTATCTCTTATTTTGCCAGCCCCTTTGTTCCGGCCAGAAGAGCATTGAAGAAGATGTAATTGCTGAACAAAACAAAACACACACCCGCATTCACATCGACGTATGGCACCCCTTTGCGCATAATCTCAATTCAATTCACCATTCAATGTTTGTTTTCAAATGGTCAATTTGGTGGAGAATAAAAGTCAAGCCAAGCCAAGCCAAGCCAAGCCAAGCCAAGCCAAGCCATTCTTGCCAGTTTCAATTGCATTCGAAATGCAATTGTTTCAAGTTCGCTTTTTGTTGTACGTTTGCCAAATAGACGAAGAAGAGATGAACATTTTTAATAATAGCTATCCAATTTCAAAGGTGTGATCGGATGATTCCACAGAATGTCAAAAAGCCCAAATTGATCAAGGTATTCGATTTCAAAGAGAGTGCCGAAAATAATGTTCAGAGCTTCGAAAGATATTGTCTGATATTGTAATAATTGTCTCTAAATCGATTTCGTGCAAACCACAAAGCGTTTTTTGATCTCCAGGTAGAAATCGTTTTACGATGTGTCGGCGTCTAGTGCACTTTTTTTTTCTCTCTTTCACTGAGCAGATGCAAGTGATTGAAAGCGATAAAATCCGATTATTGGTTCGAGTTCAAAGCGCCATTACAAAGGCATATCATCGTGCAATACCATATGTGCTCGTTTCACAAGCACAAAATAAAAAATCATAACTGAACACGCCGTCGTAATCATCGTTGACATCGTCTTCGGTCTTCGTCGCCGCTGCCACATAATTCACAGCATAGATAAAATCCAAAGTTATGATAAAAAACAAACATGCATTTCTTTGAATGGGGCACTCATCTTATCCATATCACGTGCGAGCGTTGAACAAACGATAAATATTACCAATGACTAATACGCGACGTCGACTACGACCATGACAGCATTCACACACACACACACAATATTCCGTCGAACGATCACGATGAGTGTCAATATTTTTATTGCTATACATTAAATATTTACATGAGCCCAAATGGTATATCGGAGTTCATTCGACGACATAAATCTCGTTATCTGGTCAAAATTTGATTTACTCAACGCTTGTTCTTCTGAGCCAGCACACTCACTCACTAACTCACACACATTGGAGCACGCACGTACAAGCGACAAGAGGAAATGAAAATTCACTAAAAACAAATCGTGTAATATTTTTAAAAGCCCATTCATGGTTAGAGCCAGAACCGAAGCACATAATATACTTATAATGTAGAACATGTTGTGAAATGAACGAATTTTTTTTTTGTTCTTTTTTTTTTGCTAATTTCTTTTTATGCTTTGTCCCTTTTTTCTGTTTCATATTTTTTCATTCGATGTTTTCATTTTATTTCTCTTATTTCCAGACTACGGTACAATTGTCAAACGTCGTCGCGTCAGTTGATCACAACAAAAAGAAAGACAAAAAAACCATTGAAACATCGTTTTATTCGTTTGCAAACGGCGCACAGTCCCAACGCGAACGAAACAAATAAAAATCATTACAATACGGCTTAATTCAGCACTTCATTGATTTTGTTTCGTCAACATACAAGAGATTACAGCAGTATATTTGCGGCAGTAAAGTGAACACACAAATTCGGAAAGGAGAAACCAAAAAAAAGGCAACAAAACACTTACACACAGGAAGAGTCATCGTTGAGTCAGAAGAAGAAGAAGAAGAAGAAAAAGTAGTTCCAAAATGTTTACCGTATTGAAAATTGAGAGCGATGACTTTCGTCGTAAAATGCGCCCAAAATGCGAATACGTCTGCAAATATTGCCAGCGAAGATTCACGAAATCATACAATCTGATGATCCATGAGCGCACTCACAAAAGCCCAGAGATTGCCTTCTCGTGCGAGGTGTGCGGCAAACATTTCAAACGTCCGGACAATTTCCGTCAGCACAGGTAAACACTAATGAAATTTGAATTCAATTAATTTATCACTGTTCAAACCATTTTCAATCACCAAAGTAAATAATTTCAACGAATTTCGATAACGAAATCGAGAAAAAAAAGCAATTCAAAATGAATGGAATGAGACATCATGACGTTTTGTATGGTTCGAAAGTGTGTTCGCAATATACGCAATATACACACATTGTCACACATGTTTATACTGATTGTTTTATGTCAACGCGACCGATTTATTTGCAACTTTATGATTGGCAATAACTTATTCATCGGCAAACCGCTAAAGACCCCATAATGCACGTCGCTGTGCAAAGACCGAAAATGTGGTTTTGGAGACATCGTCTGGCACACATGCACAATGCACATACACACACAGAAAAACTCAACATCATCATCATATATGTTCAATTGGCGTTAATAATTGTTTCGCATTTGTGATCAAACCCAAAGACATGTCGCCGAAAAAAAAAATCCGACTTTTTCATTTGAAATTTTCATTTTTGCGAAATAAAATGCATGCGGTTTATTCTCTCTTTCTTCGCCAAAGAAGAAAAAAAAAACACAAAACTCCGAACAATGACCACATTTGTTTGCATGGCGTACAGCCACACAATAAACAATTATTATTAGTTTGTGATGAAAACATTTGAAGCTCTGTACTGCTCAATTTTCGTTTCCCTCGGTCTCGCTCACCTTTTGTTTATGTATTCATCTTCGTTCATAATGAAATTTTCGCATATCATTCGGTTGGAATCACAGCTTCCTATGGAGTCGCATTTAATTAAAATGAAAAATTAATTTTGTAAACAATGAAACAACGGCACGATGATAAAGTCTTCACGATAGGCGCCATAGTACTTGCTCGTGGCTTGTATCATAATTTACTTTGATTTTTTTTCGCTCTCTCTCTCTCTTTCTCTCTCCTTCTGCACACTTTAGTTCTCAATCGGTTCGTTTTTTTTTTTTCGTTGTGAAAATTATTGTAATTTTTATTCGGTCGCGCCGCAAGCTTCTCCCCTTCAACATATTGTAAACCATAAAACATGTGTCAAATGATGTCCATTCGCATTATTTTATATTCTTGAAATCATTGTGGTGAGATCATATTGATATCATTAGATGTTAACCGATTTTTTTTTTTTACTAATAAAACCAAAAGTAAAGCCGATAAACAAAAAGATACCGGGATGAAAAAAAAAAGTATGCATAAATATATACGAAGAAGCGGGTGCATGAACGCGGCATAATAAAAATGCCAATCTGTTTCTTGCACCAGCGGTACATCTTCCTACATACTTTTTTTTTTCTTTCGGCGATCTTCCACAAAATCGGTATTGAAGAGTACACATTTTTTTTTTACACCTAAGTGGATTTAAGGTAAACATCACCAAACAAGCTTTATTTCTCTTCTCTTGTAGATGTAGTCAGTGTGTTTGGCGATAAACTCATTTAATAGATTACACACACAAAACAAAACAAAAAAAAAAAATCAATAAACATGCAAGCGCAAAAGCAATACACTGATGGTGAGGGGACAAAATCAAAGGCAGCAGCGAATTGTATTTTAGATGTCCATATTATTGCAGCTGTTGTCTTCCATCGTATTTGAAACCTAATAATCAATACACATTTCTTTCTCTATCTCTCTTCAAAATAATAAAACAAAACAAAATAGAAAAACACAACCAATAATTTGTCAATTGAAAGATTGCTAGTTTTTTGCCACAAAATAGCATACACTTACTTCCATTTACCAGACATAGAAACAATAATCGAAACTATTCTCTTTTCGTTGTTGTAACTAAGGAAAAGAAAATAGATCAAAAGACAAAAAAAACAGTATACACACAACATGCAGAAATGATAAGCTAATAGTAGCACTTAAGCGCACTCGGAATGCAATTACTCAACTAATTCCATATCATTTTTGTTGCGATTAAGAAATCGTTTTTATTCCACCAGACACGATCCAAACGATCTATATTAAGTGATGATCAATCTAAACAAACACCTTTACTAATTGCATTAAACAATAAACGGTATTCAGAAGGGAGCTCACACACACAAACAACTATTGCACCAACCATACAAGCACTTGATAATTTTGGTTTTCGAACTTATGACAGAAATAAACAAGTCGTCTTGTTCTTTTGGCATTTCACAAAATTTCTAACCAATCCAAAACAGAAAAATTCACCTCACATTTTGGTTAATAAATTACTAACATTACTTCAACAACAACAAAAAAAACAGCAAAGATAGAGGAATGAGCTGGATCTCACATCTAATGAATTTCTAATTTGAGTTTTGTGTTCGTCTCAAGTCTCTTGAAAAAGAAAATGACAGAAAAAAAACTATAAACACTCATCAAAATTCGGCGATTCATTACGACTCTTTTTTTTTCTCTTTTTCTTTTCTTTTTGGATTTGTTATTTTCTTTTTACAGAGCATCGCACCTCTACTCATAGATGAGCTTATTAATGCGCAAAACAAAAAACGATCTTGAGGCAACATTTATCCGCTACACCTCAATTCAAAAAAAAATAATTTCGTCTCCTCCTTTTCGCATCCGCATAAATGTAACAAATTATCAAATTTAAAAGAAAGAAACACCCGTTTTGTATCAGTAAGAAGCTTGAATTGGCTTCATTTCGAATGGTTCTGCTAATGACTAATATAATCACAGCCAGTATCGATTTGGTTTGCCTACATCCGCATATATTCTTTTGAACACATTATTTTCCACCCCGATGAAATTCAGTGAATGCATGAACAAAAATGCTATCGAAGGATGTTGATCGATCGCTTCGGAAAAATGCTCAACAGGATTTATCCCAAATATAGACGGCAGTGTGCAAATCACCCAAATATTATTTTTTCGTTATGATCTTCAGCGTCGTTATTTCCACGATTTAAGAATTTAAAAAAAAGAACCACAAATGATTTTCAAGTTCCTTAAGCCAAGGAGGACATTGTATGTATTCTTTGTGACTAAAATTACCTTGCTTTTTGATCTGACATATGAAAATACGCTACATAAAAGTTGGATTTATTGATCTAAATTCAACTTTTAGCCCGGTAGCACACCGACCGCAAATGACATCGATTTCAATTGATTTAAATCAAATTAAATGCAAATTGAATGACGGTTGAGAAGCACGGTCCAGAATCGTCCACAAAATGATCCCAGTTCAATCCAGTTTCGCGTATGTGTGTGTATATTTAGATTCATATCAAAATAAATGAAAATAGTTCTGATATCCGTTTTATCACTTGTTCCCTCTCAACAACATATTTTTGTAGCTTATACGTAAATGAAAAGTTTTTCCATCACTTTGACCAAGTAAATGATGTTAAACCACCATAACATATGCGCTTGAGTGGTTCAAGTGCCTTTTGATTTTGGATTCCATTCTCTGAACAATAAAATAGAACGATAGCTGTGCTTATGAAAGCATTTCTTTTTTCGTCTTAAAATTTCATACACATAAGTCGTACTTAGGATAGATTCTAGTCTACCGCAGAAACGATTCGGAGAAATTCAAGTAACAACGAGGAAAAAAAACAATGCTACGAAATAAAAAAAAGGAAAAAAAAAAAAAACGAAATCGAAATTTAAATCATAATTTATGTACTAAGATTTAGATAATCTTATTTGAATATTTAATTACAAGCGATCTTAGTTTATAGTAGCATAAAGAAATTGTAATTTTAAGCATCCTCGATTTGATTTTAGGTATAGGCGAAAAAAATATCCGCTCAAACTATGCATTCAAAATGTTTTCGAAACAAATAGTTCTTTATTTCTTTGCTGAATTGTTTCTTCTTTACCTTAAGACGATAATCACTTTGTAACATGTCGAATAGATCAATGAATCCAAATTTCTCTTAATTTAACCCTTTATAAAAACATATATATATATCCAAATAAATATCCGAAAAATTCATTAATTTAAATAAATTACACGAGTTTTATTTCCTTCCATTTTTGATAAACGCAATTTTCCGTTTTACGAACGCAGATGTATTCGATGGATGATTTCTTTTTTTTTTTTCTTCTATCAAAAGGTTGAGGTTGCGGTATCATTTCAGAATCACTCAAGATATTGAGTATGCTTTACTAGTAAATGAGAAGGAGCGCACAATCAACAACAATGGTATATTTGAAAAGGTAAAACAAAATTGATGTTCATAATGTGCTTTAATAGCTCTTAAATTAAGACTTCAGAATGGTTGAATGGTAAGACTTTGAGCAGGCCAATTAATTTGATCGAATATTGTTGCTGAATGAAACAAAACACAACGAGCAACAAATTGAAACTGTCAAAGTCTTCCTCATGTGGGTAATATTTGCTTCAAGCGATATCGGCATTGCTTGAAACATTTCTGTAACAGTTGTCTGTTTCTTTATTAAATGTACGTAAGTATCATGAGAATGTGTGCGAAAAAAATAATAATACGAATTTGGACAAGACTTGCTCATACATGCTATATGTATGTCATGCTTGGAACCTCATACATTACTGTCGTTGTGAGTATCCGAAGCTGCTTCTTTTGCTGTCAAGCCGATGTTCGCGATTTAAAGATCAACGGCTTACATTTAAATGGACTCAACAGCCAAAAATTATTTTCAACCAACTTCGACTGATCTTTACAATTGAGCGAATGCGCTCTGCGTTACTTAACGACTTTTTGTATTTTTTATTAAAAAAAAATTTCGTGGCTACTTCTTGATATGGGTCATTCGAAGACTCCGTTTCGGAGTGAGTGAGTAATTTAGAATAATGAAATTACAGCGATTTATTTTCGAGAAGAAAAACGATGTGGAAGAAAACAAAAATAAATGCCACACGTTAATGTGTATAATGAATACGGGCTCTGTGAAAATTGTCACCCACAACGTTTTTGACGGATCGTTGAGCGAAGCTTTTGAAACGTAATACCGAACATATCATAGCATGTCATGATACCTTGAAGCATAGTCAATGATCAATCGAGATTGAAGCCACTAATTAAGTTGTTCGCTCAATGCATTGCTTGAATTGGAGTTCAGTTGCATGAAATCTGATTTCTGCTATTGATCCCCGGTCGTATCGTAATTAAAGCACAAAACACAGCTCCGTTTATAGAGAGAGAGGAGAGAGAGAGGGAGAGAAAAGAAAACGTGTACGCAACACTATTTCAACGAACATCGATTTTTCTGCTTCTTTGACTTTGAGCTTGTCTTGTCATTTCGGATTCGTTTCGGTATCAAGGTATTCGGTGGTTTTTTTGGTCTCGAAACACACCATTGGGGATTGGATTCCGGTAGATCAAACGTCAAATTATTTGTCACATCAACAATGTCATTTGGGTTTTTGTGAATTGATTGTTGTGTGTGTGTGTGTGTGTGAGGTTGATTTGATGTGATCATCGGTAGATTTGCTCAGCGCTCTCTGTACACGAGCGCCAGTTGTTACTGCGTATTTGCGCCACTCGCCGAGGTAAGCATTAAATTAGATTGGGAATTTGAGACTAGATTAAAAAGCCACACGTTGGTGAATAAAAAAAAAAAACTATCTGGAAAAGGTGTCGTTAGACCAATAACATGTGTTGTTGAGTTGTTTGTTGTTGTTATTATTTTTTCTCGCTCTTCTCAAAATGAAACGAAACCATATTATTACACCTAATCCATGTGTCTTATCGCGCGATATAAACCAATAAACACCGTTGCTCGTTAACACTCATTTCAATTCTCATACGACAAACTAATGAGTGATTTCTCAAATATTTCTTCATTCTATCTATTTCTTGTCGGAGTGAGTTCTCATCAACTTTGAACCTAGCTTCGCCGCCAAGTCTCACTTCCACTTCAGCGTTCGATTGGTGGAAATCATAACAAATAAAGCAATGAATCATAACAAATCAACGCACATCGGCAGTTCAAACACGGTTCGTGGCCCATTCCTGTGAGAACGTAAAAATAAACGATCATCAAATGCGATAACGTTTAAGACCTTTTCTGAACAAATAATGAGCAAGCATTGTTGTTATGGAATCCGGCGTGAAAATGAAATCATTCCATACTGAAACGCGGCTCCAATTGGTGGGATGCGTGGCCGTAATTTATGATTTCTACCATTGCAATGACATTCATCATTATTATCGCAGCGAAATGAATGATGATTTGTAAGGAAACATATTTAATTCAATAATTTGTTAAGTCATTGTTTAGGCGACAAAGACACACCAAGAGATAGAGTGACAATTGAGGTGCAACATTGACGGGGCACAAATACAATGGCAATCATTACCAATGTGTTTCGACCAATAATAATATAAAGTGAGACGATGAATAAAAAAAAGTTCAGATAGAGAGAGATGAATTATTTATGAATCGCATTTACGTTTTATTGAGCCAGTCGAGTGTTTTGAAAACGAGTCAATTTCGATTTTTTTGATCGACACACCGAATGAAAACACCACCTAACAAAATAAACATTTTTGAACATTTGATCTTTAAGCGATTATAATTTCATTTTGGTTCACGTTCCATGGAAAATGATTACATGTGATTTTGAGGCGGTCCGAACGATGGATAGGTGCAATGAATGCAGTAATTCATTCAAGTGCTTTTTTTGTGTGGTGATTATTGTTGTTGTTGCTGTTTTTATTGTCAGCAAATGCGATTGCATTCATTCCGTGCTGATGCCAAAGCATCGGGCGACGGCAAAGTTGCTTTGTTGTGTCGCATACATGGCATATTGCTTTCATGGCTATTGCGCCACAATGATATTCATTATGCGCGAGCATGTCAAGCATTCTCAATAGAATGAAAATATGATTCGAAATCGATCAATTTTCCTCACTTTTGGACAAAACGTCTACAAATCGACGCGATTGACGAGGAAAAAGGCGAGCCGCCACCTTTTCTTTTCATCGAACATCTCGCACCAAATAGAATACATTTTTCCAATGACACCAAAATCACGATTTATATACTCACAAATAAGCATTGTTGTCAATACGGAGAGTGAGAGAGAGAGAGAGAGAGAGAGCGGTTCATCGGTTCATCATCAAATATTGTATGCCACACAAAAGTGAAATGAAGTGGATTTATTGACCATCACTACACATATCGATATGATTAGTTTGAAAATTGAAATACTTTAGATCTTTAAGAGAGTCTATCATTAACTAGTCAATAGAATCGATTGTGTGCGTTAAAGCGTGGGTAATTTTTTTCCTCTGTCTATTGAAACAGAAATTCCACGACAAACGATTCGGTCAATTTTTTTTTCTGTTTCTTTGATAAACGTTTTAATAATGGAATTTTTTCTGTGGATTTGAGATGGAAAGAGAGAGTGAAAAAAAAAAACGTTTATTGATGATTTGCAGATGCAGTGGTGACGACGACGATTCGGTTACATTTTTATCGTTTCGTAAAACGAAGCTTCCAAGTATGACTTGCAAATTTCGTTCATTTTTTTCTCATTTCAAACCATTTCTTGTTCTCTTCGTATATACTCCGTATGAATAGTTGGGAATTTATTTGGTTGAATGGTTGAAATACTTTAAATACCATGACACAAACAAAACAAAAACTCTAGCATTTGCCCACAATTTGCTGTTCTAATCAATCGACACTTGGTGAAATCCAGCGCTTGTTCAACAACAAGAAGGCCTATGTTCCACTTATTGATAATCATCTGACATCTGATCAAGGGAAATATGTTTACAGCATTTTGTGTCTTTATGAAATTATGATTTATCATTTTTACTGGGAATGTGAAATACTAGAGAGAGATTCGGCTAACTTCAGACACAGACATCGTCTCACTTGGTGCGGTATGTTGTTTCGACCAAGCCGAACTAACCGAGACGAGCCGACCGACCGACAAATGACTCACAAATAATAAACAAATTGAATGCCTGAATTCCAATCGGATTCGACAATGAGGAGAACAGCAGAAATTGCAGCCTTCACACAGATCTCTCAATCTATTGCCATGTTTGCTCACAACACATGTCAATTCTGTCGAAATGCAAACGAGTAACCAACATAGTTATATGTTAATGTGAATCCAAATGAGCAGTGCGAAGATTTCAGGATTGCACATCGACGCGATCTCAATGCGACCCAAGACCTTCTTTCATTCACATTATGGTCATCGTCGTTGTCATTTTTTTTTTTCGTGTGTCCATCATTTGAAACGTCACGCAGCATGAGTGATTTATTAAAATGCGTTTTCTTTTTGCCGTGTCTCGGATTCATTCATGAATAGGTTTTTGGTGACAAAACCAACAGCCTTAGCAAAGCAATTGTATTACTCATTTCTTCTGCGATGGTCGATGTGAACGGAACGAAAGGAAAGCGGCAAGCAAACGAAAAAAAAAGGCAACAACCAACCGAAGCCTCCACCGCTGAAGAATGAATGTAGTTTATGTGAAATATATTTATGTATGTGACGATTACGTTGAACTATGGTCAAAAACTGGTTTTTCCTCACATCTCAGATAACCTAATTATTTTTCCACAAAATTTGAATAAAGAAGCAAGCTCATTATAACCGTTTCATTTTCGTTTGAAGCATTTCATTCATAAACCTCAACCGTCAAGCATGACACGGCTTGGCGACCGACTGAGTGGCCACTTCATGCGACAAATTTGACACTATTTCTGTTTTTTTTTTATTTCAATATTGGTGTGATAAAAAGTACGATAAGATCTACGTACGAACAACCGACCGTTCATGAATGAGCTGGCGGTCGAATAGCGAGCAAGTAGTTGCGCTTTCGGACAGGCGAAATGAACAAACAAAAAACTGTTTTTGTTTATATTTACAGTTAATTTTCTGTTTCACCTCTAATGTGTTTTTTTTTTTCTGTGGTTTATTCTTCCTTTCTTTTTACGCAGAAAGATGATTAACTCGCTATATAATTGTGACGGTTCATTCATTAACGTTAAAACCCTATGATGAG